AAAGAATCAATTTGATCTTCTGTAACTTGTTGTTGAGCATGATCTTTCATAAAATTATGAATGTTAGAAATGTACTCAATTGTGTTTTTATAAGTACACATTTTATTGTATTCATCCTGCGTAATTACTTCTCCGTTCTCCGTTTTACGAGAAAGAAAATCTTCCAGGGATTTTATATATTTAAACATCTCTATCGCAAATTGTTCAGCCCTAAAATAAAAACAAAAATTTAATGATTAACGAAAGAACTTCTTAGATAAAAGAATAAATAATTCATTTACTATATTTGTTAAAGAAAAATGGTAAAACAACTTACATTCTGTCTAACCACTCTGTATTCCTGGCTGATGAAATAATAACAACGCATTTAACATCTATTGAGCTGCACACTAGGCGAATGTTCTGGATGACGTTTCACTATTGATCTTTAGCGGAAAACTGTACACGTGATACGGAACGACATATTGATTTATAGGCTGCAACTATTTAAAAGTTGGTTCCTAAGGTTGGATAAACATTTTTTTACTCATGATTAACCGCCTTGTTTTACAAACTTAGATTTCAATTTACCGCATGAAGCACACGCGGCTTTTATCATTAATCTTCCGTTTTTTGTTGTAACATATTGAGGATTTACATTATCGGTGTATGTTCGTTCTTTTAAACAATATATTTGTTTTTGTAAACTCATTTATATATATTTTAATTATAAAAAAGGATTCGTCGGTTCCCGCCTGTCTTATAGTATTCTATTTATGAGTAGTATAGAGTATGATGGTTCCGGGGGGATTTTGGCCTGAGGGTGTTCTTAAATCAATAAAATGGGGTTTTATGTCGAGCTGTCTTACTTTTTGGGTTGATAGGTAAGCTATGTCGAGCTGTCTTACCCTTTGGTTTGATAGATAAACACTTTTTTAGGCTTCAAAGTGTCCCGGAACCATCATACTCTATACTACTAACAGGTATATCATAAGACGTAACAGTATATGGGACAAGATTGTGTTTAAGAAGATTCAGGCATTGTGTTTTATGGGTTAATCATAATCATAACACTAAGAAACTACAGGGAAAAATGTTGATATTTAGTTAGGGAAAAAAAAGGACAAATGAGGGATATATAATAATACTAAAATAGCTTTATAGACTTAATCAGTATTTCTATATTTTAAATTCATGAACAGGTATATCATAAGACGTAACAGTATATGGGACAAGATTGTGTTTAAGAAGATTCAGGCATTGTTTGGTGGTAAAGTTGATATTGTTATCACAGGTTCTGCCCCACTAGAAGCTGAAGTTTTAACTTTCTTTAGATGTGCTCTTGGTTGTGTGGTATGTAGAAATATTCAGATTTTAATGTTATTATGTTATGTATGATCTAGAATTATAGCAATATTACACTTACTGCCTCCCAGTACAGACTCATAATATCTGTCATTTGTTGCGGTTCGGATCGGAATATCCACCACAAGGGGGCCCACCCACGAGGGAAGAATTCCAATCCTAACTGCAATTAGTTACATATGTCAGATATTTTTTCTTGCATATTTTACCATATTCCATCATATTTTAAACTCTTAACCATAATAAAACCATTTTCCATGAAAATTTATGTAATTACACCTGTAACTATTTTCTTACAACTGCATAATATTATGAAATTACAACTTCATTCATAATCGTAAAATAATACCTCATCCTAAGCATGATGCCATTCATTCACATTATAGCAGGAGACTCAATTCCTGCACCCCCACCCCCAATGCCGGCATTGGTAAAACGGAAACGCCAGTCTGATATGCCAGAAAGTGATATCTGTTTTAAGTTGCTGGCATGTTTAACTAAGATATATAATTACCTGTATAAATGATGAGCTCATCTATTTCCACAATGTTTCTAGCTCTCTTCGTGTTCACTCTAATGTTTAATTAAGGTCTGTTGTGATATGAACACTTTTGATACATGAACAGCTTGTGTGTTAATCTACATTAAATTTTTTTTTATAAGTTACCTCATTATAACTTTTCTAAATCAACAAAAATTTCTAATGAAAAAAATAACAGAACATTTTCAGAAGACTGTGCCTGCTAAGATTGAATAAGATTTAATAACAGGTCAGTGTGTTTTATATAGAGGATATTGAATGAGTGTAGTTTAATATTAAATTTATTGAACAAGTTGAATAAAATCATATTATGCGAGCCTCTGGCGAGCATAATATTGTTTTATTCAACGAGTTCAATAAATTTAGTATTGAATCTAGACGAATATAATATTCTATTTATCACATATATAAAATAAGAACAGTAAACTGTTAAAATGAGTAATTTTTCAATGACGCCCCCATAGTGTAACGCTAACATTAGCGTGCTTTAACGCTATGTTTCTATATAGCGCAAATGACGTCACATCAAAGTGACTAATATTACACTAGTGTAATATCGTTTTTATTAAATGGCTTTATTACACTCCTGCGCCGCGGTTTATGTGATAAATTTACTTTCAAAATGATACATTTAATGGACTTACTTTATAAGTTAACATTATTTATCATTAATGACAAGTGTATTTGACAGTTTCTAGAAGCATACGGGCAAACAGAAACTGTTGCGGCGGTATCAATGGGAATAGTTGGGGACTGGAGCGCAGGTATTATTCTATTGAATGTAGCCGGTAATTTTAATTCTCTAATTGTAAATTGTAACTCACTATATTGAAATAATTCTATATTAAATTATAGCTTACAATATAAGTATTCTATACATGTATATATGAAAGCCGTTATTGATGATTATATTGATGGCTATCCTGGGTAAATATATTCTATTTTAAATCACAAATTAAACTAGAAATACCTGAAGCTTTTAACATTAAGAATGCCAACAAAACAATCTAAGGATTCATACCAATTTTCTTTTTTACAATAAACTTTCAACCATTTTCAAATTCCATTGGCATTTTGAAAGTTTGCAAGTGTTAAATGAAATTGCCTGTAATGATATCATATTAATTAAAGCAGTTTTAACAGTTGTTTGAAAAGGTAATATACACTACAATCATGCACTGGTCTCTTAGTTTCACTGTAGACCACAAGTTATATTAATATATTAGGATTAAAATTCATCATAACCAAAATTTATATCACAAGGAAGCCTGTTTTAAAAGTCCCGGGTGTAGATTTTCCAAGGTTTTTGGCTCAAAATCCTTGGAAAAAAACCTCGGAGTATTGGAACAAGAAAATGCAAAACTTTGCTAATAAAAAAACCTTGGAAAAATAGGGAGAGGGTGAAAAACCTTGGAAAAAAATTTCCGAGTTTTTTTTAAAAAAAACCTCGTAAAAAGTAAGACCTCGGAGTATTGGAACGATTTCCAAGGATTTTTAAAGTGTTTCCGTGGTTTGTTTTCCAAGGTTTTTTAAATGAAAACCTCGGAAAGTTTCTCACAACTGGGAATACTGTTATATTTTCGAGGATTCTTACTTAAGGGCATCAGAGAATTTTCCAAAGTTTATTTGAGCAAAAACCTTGGAAATTTCTAGAATATCCATGGAAAATCAGAAAATATAACATCCAATGAAATATTCTGAAAAGAGCAATTATATTGTCCTTTTAAGGAATTAAGAAACTTCTTTGTAATAATACAGAGCAAAAAATGATCACATGACTCACTTAAACATTTAATGTCAGTGTGAAGTAAATAGTAATGCACTACAAATGAAAAGTTAAGTTAGAAGTTTTTAATGGTAAATATTACACTCAATGTTCAGTTATAATTTTTTGGTATCCGGTTAAATTTTAATGTATTCAAATATCTATCTTTTGAATTCCTGTTCACTCTTCATGATTTTTAAATGTCCCTTAGTTTTTCCCTCACCATCACAGGGGTCACATGTGGAAAATGCTCCAGGATACAATTCCTGAAATAAATAAAGTAAATATTTAATAAAGTACAGCCATTGAAAGAAGTTAGAAAAACAATTATATAAAATCACCACTGGGCGCTTCTCTCTCCATTGGGCGCTTCCCTCTCCATGTGGTCAGGATCAAAGACTTCAAACTACTTGCCTTACAACATTGTATTTTTGACTCCTGAAGCCAGGATGGGCTTCTTCCCTCTGAGGGAGCTATCCAGCCCAGGATTAAGGAACACCTGTGGTTATACTCAGGACAGTTCAGTATGTGTAGGCAATCAGAATTACATCATTTAATTTCTTTTTTATTAATCAATAAAAAAAATGATACATTCCTTAAATGTTTCCATAGACAAAAATATCAGTTCACTGTTGATATATATTGTTTTAAAAAATCAGCACTTTTGTGAAATCCAAAACTACTTGAATTACAAGTTGTTCAAGACCATTGATTAAAATGAAGGCTTTAATATTTTCAAATGAACTTTTCTGTAGTTACTTTTAAATGTTTGTCTACTGTTTTGAAATAGTGAATTTAATTTTTTTCATGTTGATTTCTTATTTTTCTTCATCAGTACTTAGTGTCAGGATTTCAAGAAAACTTTGGTAAGCAGTGTGACAATTCTGCGATGTTAAGAAAGAAACGATGTCTGTTACTATTATTTTAGATAATGTCATACTTGATGTTACAACCTAAAGCACTCTAAAAATATTGCAAAAAATAACGCTTTTCATAAGGTGATTCTGATTGCCTACACTAATTGTATCTGTCTGCTCAAAGTGACATCTGTATCAATAAAGCTGGAGAGTCATCATGTAACATTAATAGCATTTCCAACAAAGTATCAATAAAAAAATCAGTTCCAGAAACCTTCATTCATTCAAATTTCAAATTGAAACTTTCAAAACCTAGTTTTAAAACAAAAACATACTGTAGTATATTCCTTGAAGCCTTTCCTGGTCTACAGTTGGCTTCCTTAATCGATGCCTGGATGCCAATGATATACTATGATAAAACACAGCAAAGCTGGATTGCCATCTTCTTGTAGTTTGGAACAGTCTTGCAAACTTGCTTACAAGCTGACTCTGTAATTAAAAATTTGTAGATTCAAATAATAGATGAAAGTTTATAAATAATGTCATCATAGTTTCATGCACTCATCTTGTTCAATACAATCATAGACAAAAATAACATTAATACTCATAAAATATCCTCTAAACAATTGTATTTAAACTAGCTTACATTTAGGTTAAAAATATAGATCTAAAATAGTTTGTATTTAATACTTATTTGAAAAAAAAAACAACAACAGATTTTATGCATAAATGTATCTAAAATTATTTACCTGAACCTTTTTACTATCATGTTTCTTTTGTTTATCTTCCTGTCCCAGGTCATTGATCTTTAGGTTCAATTACAACAACCAAACATTTCCTGAATCTTGTAACACTTAGATAAATGTTTTCTTTAAAAATTCCAAAATATGCTCCCTAACATTTAAAACAAGATATGTCCAAAATTGCTTAAAATAAATCCAGGTTTGCACTACTTCCAACTATAACCACTTGACCCATTAATGTCTGAGATTCAAATTTTTCAACAGTATAACTGAAGGGGCAATCATAATGTGAAACAGGGGTGATCCCAAAATATCAAAGCCATCATCATTTTATTTTTACATTAATTTTATTGAAGGTACAAACATATCAAATGATAAATAAAAGTAAAACTTGAAAATTATAAGAGAATCACAGTTGCAGTGTCATTTTAGACTGTTTTGGATTGTATAAAAACCCAGACTCCCCCTGAATAATCACATGGAACAATCTGGTCTATCCCAGAATGCTCAATGAGAAGATTGATCATGCATAGATTATAAGAGGGAACCACCTGGGGTGCCATTAGTTTTATCTGATCAGTGTGTTATATTCTGTGTGTGAAAACTTAGTGGATGCAGTATTTATTTATCTTAATTATAAGAAAGTATCAAGCATACATATTTTACACATTAATTGTACATAATTATATATTAAAAGGACAATAAACAAGCATTTGATAGTATTGCGGGCAATACAGTAGTCCCCTACCGGTCCCTCAAAAAGTTCTTTAATTGTCATACACTCCTGTGTATTGCCATTTATAATGAATTTGAGGATGAAGTCTGTATTTGAAAATATCAACCACAAAACATAATAAAATAAGTTTGTCTATATCACAGTAATGTGTTAAGTTTCCATGCTTAGTAAGGAAATTATGTTTATACAACCTTGTCATATTATTACGATGTGGGATTTTAAAGTAAATCCTATAAGGAATGAAGAAGTTGGAGTGAAAATACCAATTTCTCGAAAAAAATCTAAGTTCAAAGGGGACATAATTCTGGAAATAGTCTTGCTAGAGTATTTAACCTTCTCAAAAATGTCGAGTGATAATAAGAAACATATATATGAAGTTTGAAGTAGATACGTTAGGAAATAAAGAAGTTATTTAAACAAGAGCTGTCCGTAAGACAGCGCGCTCGACTTTTTTATTGCTTGCCAATAAAAAAAGTTTTTGCAGTAAAAGGCAATACAAGAATCTCTGTATTTTTAAAGTGAACAATGGCCATGAGCATTAAGATATTTAGTGAAGAATTATTTTACTGAATTGTGTGATACCCTTGAACACTGCAGCAAAGTTTGAAATGTTTAAGTCAAAAGAGGGCTGGTAAGAAAGAAAAAAAAACTGAGTTGAGTTTTTTAGTGCTTGCCTATAATACAAAACATTGACAGTTAAGGGCCATAATTCAAATAAAATCTTTGACAGAATTACCTTCTCCTGGACATGTTTGGGAATCATGATTGTAAACAAGTATTCCAACTTTCAAATTGATATCTCAAACAGTTCAGTCAAAAAGTGGACTGGTACTAAAAACTTAACCAAGATTCTAAGTCGATAAAAGGCCTTAATTTTTAAAACAAATCCTTGACAGAGTTACCTTCTCTTGCGTACAGATGGGGGTAATGATGTGAAATAGCATTAAAAGTTTCAAAGCAATATCTCAAAGGGTTAAGGCAATAAGTGGATTTTACCCATATTCAATGTATTTTCTAAGTCAAAAAGGGGCATAATTCTGTCAAAAACCTTGACAGAGTTATGTCCTCTTGTCTGTTGATGAAGGTCGTGATGGTAAACAAGTATGGTCAGTTTCAAAGCAATACCTCCAATGGTTTTGAAATAAAGTGAGGTGGTACAAAAAACTTAACCAAGCTCAATACACTTTCTAAGTCAAAAAAGGGCCATAATTCTGTCAAAAACCTTGACAGAGTTATGTACTCTTGTCTGTAGATGGAGGTTATGATGGTGAACAAGTATGGTAAGTTTCAAAGCCATACTTGTAATACTTCTGAAATAAAGTGGGGTGGTACGAAAAACTTAACCAAGGTGTGACGCCAACGCCGACGCTAACGCCGACGCCGACGCCGGGGCGAGTAGGATAGCTCCCCTTTTCATAGAAAAGTCGAGCTAAAAAGACAACATTTTTTCCCCTAAAAAATCTAAGTTCAAGGGAGGTAATACTGATATTTTTTGTGCTAGAGTTATAAACCTTGTCACATATGATGTGGTTGATGACCAGAAACTTATATTTAAAGTTTGAAGTAAACACCTTAAGAAATAAAGAACATATAGTGAAAAAGCTGAAAAATTTAAATCAGAAATCTTGAAATTCAGACTATTTGTTGCCATAGCAACCAGAATTTTCAACATAGGAAGAAAAGAAAAAGATGTGCATAATCTCCAGACTGCCATCTACCCATATTTCAAGTTTCATAAAAATATTTTCAGTACTTTTTGAGTTATCACTGGATCCAGTTTATGTGTTAAATTTGCCATATTTTCAGACTATTTGTTGCCATAGCAACCAGAATTTTCAACATAGGAAGAAAAAAAAAAGACGTGCATAATCTCCATACTGCCATCTATCCATATATCAAGTTTCATAAAAATATTTTCAGTACTTTTTGCGTTATCGCGGGATCCAGTTTTGTGGACGGACGGACTGACGGACTGACAGACAGACAGACAGACGGACAGACAGACGGACAGACAGACAGACGGACAGACGGACGGAGGGTAAACCTAAAGTCCCCTCCGGTTAAACCGGTAGGGGACTAATAACTATTTATGTTTATTGTACACATAATTAATGGCAGAGTAAATTGTAATCTGAATGTATGTCACAGACTTGCTTAGTAGAATATACTATTTTATATGGCATAAAAACATATATTAAAGATTAATAGCATTCTTATTTCAGTGTTGCTTACAGGCTGTCAAGAAACCCTAAGTTAAGTCTATATATAGAAAGAAACTGCAGGAAAAATACTGATGCATTTAGAAACTAATAGACATAAACACTGATTGTTTCTTTTTGTATAATTATAAGTTTTGCTCTTTTATCTATTCTTAAAAATGGAGAAGATATCTAGTAACAATAATTATAAATAATAAAAAAAAAATATGAAAATAAAAAAAATAAAATTTTCAAGTCTTTCTGATCATCAGTTATTTGAATAATCTTTATCTTATTATGATTAGTTACAATACCTTTATAGCCATTAATAAAAGGTATTTTATGGCAACAAGGAATTTACATTGTATTTAACTTTTCCATGTTTTCACACTTAAATTTTTTTAATTGATTCCTCCCACAAAAATGGCTTCAGAAGATTAAAGTACAAATTTATTGAAAAGGAAGTTGGCCATTGACAATGTCCATACTAAAAATTGATTCCCTGGACCAAATCTCTCCTTTCCATGCTGTTGGACAATTGTTTGCTCTGACCATGGATTAAGAAATATCCATTGGCAATCTACAGTTGGGTTGTTATCTTAGTTTGCTTTAACTGTTGATTATTGCTTTTGATGCCCATTATAAGTTAAATCATGATTATGTCTTAACATTTTCCGAGATGAAATTTAGTTAAGTTCAATTATCCGAGGTCATTTCCAAGCTAAATATTGGCAAAGTGTTTCCAACAAATTTTACTTAAATTTTCTAAGTTCTTTTCCGAGCAAAAAAATGACAAAGTTCTTACTTCCAAGCTTTTTCCGAGCTGATTTTTGGCAGAGTGTTTAATTCCGAGATAGTTTCCAAGGTATTCTTTATTTCCAAGGATTTTTATACAAAAACCTTGGATAAATTTTCCAAGGTTTTAAAAAAAAACTCGGAATTAAGAAAAAACCTTGTAAAACTGGTTTATTTCCAAGGTTTTTGAAGCAGTTTCCATGGTTTATTTCATAAACCTCGGAAAATCTACACCCGGGGATGTAGCATATTTTGTTGCAGAACCCAAATCATTTCACATGTTTTTAATATAGAACAAACATCTTAACAAATTTCAAGCTGTCGAAAATTCAAGAATTAAAATAAATTAAAATGAACTCAGGCTATTTAAATACATATTGTACAGTGATACATTAAAAAGTGTGTTGTTTTGCTATCAAAAGTTATTGAAAATAATTGTGTAGTCAAATTAAAAGTACAGTTACTAAAGAAGCAGACACTGAAGCTATGTTCTAATGACTGTCTGATTATTTGAACTTGCCTTTAATATTTGCATGACTGTTAAATTAAAGAAAACAGTTTTTTGTAAGAATGATATTCTTGATCATCTTTATTATCAACTCTATTATTTTGTATCAACAGGACATGTTGGACCTCCGTTGCCATACACCTACATCAAACTGTTTGATGCTCCTGAATATAATTACTATGCTAAAAATAACCAAGGGGAGGTAAGTCATATATCTTACATTTAGATTATTATAGCCAAGGGGTAAAGTAAGCGATAATATAATCAAGGGGAGATAATTGCACTAAAATTAATAGAGATATATAAGTCGTATTAAGTAATCAAGGGGTGATTAACCATTTGATAACTTTGCTTAAAATAATCAAAGGGTAGTAAATTAAAGTAGATGTAATGACTTGCAGCTGTTTTTGATAAATCATGGTTGTGTATCAATGAATCAAAGTAAGCTTTTTTTGTTAAAATATAAAAGAAAGATTTTTAGTTTTTATGTTAATTATATTTCTTTGATTTCACGAAGCGTATGCTATATGTTATTTACATTTCACAGGTGGGTGCTATATGTTATTTATATTCCACAGGTGTATGCTATAATTATTGTTATTTATATTTCACAGGTGTGTGCTATGTTATTTATATTTCACCAGGTGTGTTCTATATGTTATTTATATTTCATCAGGTATGTGCTATATGTTATTTATATTTCACTAGGTGTGTGCTAAAGGAGTCACTATCTCAAGTGGATATTATAAAGACCCAGTAAAAACAGCAGAAACTATTGATAAGGAGGGATGGCTTCATACAGGAGATATTGGACAATGGTTACCTGTTAGTTTTTATGTTATATTACTTTGTCAAAAATTACCTAGTATATTATGCTGTTTTTGTTGGTTAGGTTTGTTATTTACCAATTTCCAAAATCATATGAAATTATTCTGAGCATGTAGAGGTATAAAAATATGAATATAAATTATGCATTTTAAAATATTTTTATTCTTATTGACATTTATTTTTTTAATAAATTCAGATAATGTTCCTCATTATGTAACATAAAACCTGTTTAACCTTTCAGAATGGTACATTAAAAATTATTGACAGGAAGAAAAATTTGTTCAAGTTGTCACAGGTAAGATAATTTAAAATGTAACATAATTCACTTAAAGCAATGTAAAGCAAGTTTCTTTTTTCATTGTAGTAGAAGTTACAGGTTCATAAAAAAATAGATCTGCATCATAATGTATGATACATATTGTAAAGATTTTGTCTTTGTGAAAAAAAACTCATAAACCAAAAGAAAAAAGAAGGTAAAATATGGCCATCATGATGTAAAATCACAGCTCTACTGGCTACTGTGGTTAAATATGTACTTCAAGCACTGATCTGTGAGAATAATAGATAACACAATTGCTAAAATAATTGTAGTACTGTCAAAAAACAACAAGTGGTAGTCACTAAAGTTACCCTAAATTGGCATTTTTCCATTTTGAAATCTGGACAATCAGACTGGTAAGTAATATTAGTTGACCAGCCCAACTATCAAACCCACAATGTTGATATTACAAGTCTCATGCTCTAACTGATAAAGGTATGGGGACTGGCATTCATTTTTCATAATATTTTTGTGTTGTTTTATGTACAGGGAGAGTATGTGGCTCCGGAGAAAGTAGAACTGGTTTATAGCCGGAGTTCATTTGTGGCTCAATCTTTTGTAGAAGGTGATAGTCTTCAGGTATTGTATATTACTTATTTACAGTTTAACCATTTATTATATGTAATTATAGTGGCTTTTAAAACTAAACCATAGCAAGAGACTGTTGAAATGAAAAAAAATAATTCATTTGTAATTTTTTCATAATCTAATTTCAATATTTATCATAAAGTTTGTTTGACTGCTGAACAATGAAAATATTGACTAAAGGCAGGATATTTTTATAGGCTAGCATGAAAGTTCTGGAATATATACACATGTGATGTAATGAAGTTTGGCTATTGCATGGATAAAAAACACATTGACATGAAATTTAACATTCAAGAAATGTCAAGCAATGTAACATTTAAGAAATGGCAAGCAATTTAACATAAAAGAAATGTCAAACAATGTAACATTTAAGAAATGTCAAGCAAAGTAACATTTAAGAAATGTCAAGCAATGTAATATTCAAGAAATGTCAAACAATGTAACATTTAAGAAATGTCAAGCAAAGTAACATTTAAGAAATGTCAAGCAATGTAATATTCAAGAAATGTCAAACAATGTAACATTTAAGAAATGTCAAGCAAAGTAACATTTAAGAAATGTCAAGCAATGTAACATTTAAGAAAGGTCAAGCAATTCAACATTTAAGAAATGTCAAGCAAAGTAACATTTAAGAAATGTCAAGCAAAGTAACATTTAAGGAATGTCAAGCAAAGTAACATTTAAGAAATGTTATGCAATTTTATTATAACACCAGTGATGCCGGTTTGTTCAAAGTGGCTGAAAGTAGTTTCATAGGTTTCAAAAATACCTGTATGTGACACAGGCCAATGGATTAAGGAGTTATCAAAACAAAATTGTATTTGTATTGTTTATTCCCATTTATTTATTAACTTTCTTACAGCCGTATGTGATGGCAGTGATTGTACCTGATGAAGAAGTTTTAATGTCATGGGCAAAATCTCAAAACATTTCAGATAGTTTCCAGAAACTGTGCAAAAGTGAGGTAAGATTTTCTGCTACCAGTATATACATACATTTCCTATTTCTAAGGTAAGTTAATTGTTGACAAAGGTTATCATATTGTTTTTGTTGTGTTTTTTTGCTTCATATAATACATGCTATACTGTTTAAAATCATATATGTGTAGAAATTGGTTAAAATAACTTATAATTATTTGGAAATTCAAGTGAAACAATTTAGTTATTTTCTCAAATAACTAACAAATATTTTATTGGCATCATTTTCATGGGTGATTACACTAATTTGTGTTATTGAAGGGTTTTTATGATAAAGATGTTTAAGTGTAAAATGTTCACAAAAATTATGTTTTATGTTTTAATCCAGAGTGTTAAGTCAATGATTCTACTGGACATACAGAAAACTGCTCGAGAAGCTGGTCTCAAAGGATTTGAAATTGTAAGTTACTATTTTCAACATATTGTTTTCTTTATGTTATATTTGAAATTATTGGTAATTTGCCTTTTTTCTTGATTTACATTGAGTTAATTGGTGGAGGTTGGGTTAACTGGGGCAGGTTAAGTTAATAGTCTCACTGATGACACTTATTTAACAAATCAGTGGAATGCTGTATTTTTAAGATTACTTAACATTTCTGCCTTGTCTGCATTCTGTTTCAATGGCAAACTTAAAACAGCACACCTCCAGATTCATGCTTATTTTTATGAAAATTTTGAAAATGTATTTAAAAAGTAAAATATTATGAAGTATTCAAAAGAAAGCAACTGGCACAATTTACCAATGACTTTAACAACCCACATAAATTACTAAAATGAAGTATAAATATGCAAAAATAGCCCTAAATAATTGCGCAATAGAAATACAGTTAAAAATATTGAAAAATCAGTTTTTTTTACTTTTTCTAAAATCTTAGTACATTTTTCTCAATTTTGATTTTATTGAAATATTTTGGTTCATCTGGAGGCATGCACCTTTAATACATCATGTGAATAAAGTGTAAAATAGTCCACATATATGAGCCGAGTCATGACAAAACCAACATAGTGCGTTTGCTACCAGCATGGATCCAGACCAGCCTGCGCATCCGTGCAGTCTGATCAGGATCCATGCTGTTCGCTATCAGTTTCTCTTCTTGTAATCCTGGGTTTGTAAACGAAAAGCATGGATCCTAATCAGACTGCGCGGATGCGCAGGCTGGTCTGGATCCATGCTGGCCGCAAACCCATCATGTTGGTTTTGTCGTGAAACACAGAAAATATGAATTATTCTATTATTTATTTTCAGACTAAAGATATCATTTTGCGATCAGAACTATTTTCTATTGAGAATGGACTGTTAACACCTACATTCAAAAACAAGCGCCCACAGCTACGCAGTTTCTTCAAAAATGACATAGCAGCTTTGTACAAGAAACATAGTGGTGGGTCAGGTTAAAGGAAAGGGAAAAAAACAAACATTTGAACAGGATTTCCTATGAATTTGTGTATTATGAACTTTGATTTTGAAAACCTAGTGTTACAGTTAAAACACTCAAAATTGCAGTTTTTGTCCAGTCTTAGACATATTAGCTAATTAAAACCTTTGCTAGATTTAAACATTTAATTTTAATAAGATACAGAAATATAAAGGAGGAATTCATAAGATAGTAAAAATGATGTCATTCATACTAGTGATATGAATATTTTGGTAGAATTATTCAGGTGTACACATATACATGTACTCGTATTTTATGTTCAGTACTCTAACAACAATATAGCAAACCAATACTTTTTTAACATAGTTACAGGATTTGATTTTCCTTCATTAAGTCATGACTTTGTGTTCAATTTAATATACTGGAATTAATGTTAAAAAATAACAAATAATGCCCCTCTCTAACAAAAAAAAAAAACAACAACAAAAAAACTTAATGACAAAATACAATGTAGCTCTCATTATGAATTAAGCCATTTGTTATAAATCCAACTATTTATTAGCACAAAATTAATGTTAATTCATCTGATGCTTCTAGTATAATATACAGAGGAAAATAATACAAAAAAGTAAAAATTCTTTATACTTTGACTAAATTAAATATTACTATTATCTTTTAATTATAGCCCGCTATATATACCTTATTAAACAGGTAAGAATGATTTGTAAAATGTTAAAAGGTTGGCACAGTTGTGAGACAAGGGGCATTATTCTGAAAGCAATATAATATTTTTAGAGTAATGCCCCTTTTTACCTTAAATTTGTTAGTCAAAATAGCTTATAAACTAGAAGATTTCAAAACTACGAAAGGTATCAACATGAGACTTGGAATACTTGCCTATCATGCAAAAGCACATAATTATGCAAGACAAGGGACATTATTCTAAAAGCTTTATTTATGGAGTTATGTCCCTTCTTAACTAAGAATTTTGTGCTTATTTGTAAAATGATTTGAGAACTATCATGGTATCAACAGGCAACTTTGTTTATTTTATTATCATGACAACACAGACAGTTGTTAGACAAGAGGTATTAACCCTTCAAGCAATAATGCTATGCTCTTATTTAAGGATGTGGGGTATTTGATTTTTTACATCTTCTGATAATTTCACTATCTTTATCATTTTTAAATTTTGGTCAGAGATTAGTTACAAGATATTTTTATACATGCTTACAAGATCTGTTTATGATTTATAAACTGACCCCCCCCCACCCCCTCACATATTTTGAGAAATGTGAGTTTAATAGATTTTATCCCAAATACCCCAAGTGAATTTCAATAATTTTCAAAAATATTCAACACGATAATTTTTAAAACTCGGTATCTGGAAATTAATTCCACATGGGTATTAATGGGATAAAATGTTTTGGCCTCAAATGTAATCTTTTGTTAGATATGCTCGAAGGTGTTCCCACAATTCTCAAAATGTGTCAAAGTTTTTGTTGAATGATTGTCACATATTCCATTTATATATTGTATTCTATTATGGTCACCTAAATACTTAGCACATTCCGTTTATATATTGTATATAATTATACATTTGTACTTATAAATACTTGACACTATTGTTACATTTTAGATTTTGTGTGTGCATTTTTTTTAAATACAAATATTGAAAAAGATATGAAAATAAGTAACAGCTGGCTCAGTTCATTTAGAATCTCAAACCACAGCTGATTTTTAGAGTGAGGCTGCGGAACTCCAAAGGTCAAAACCACCTCATCTGCTGGAGTTAAGAGAGGCGTAGACTCCAGTAATTCAAACCTATTTAGTTGCCTTGTATGATCACGCATGGATAAACAGTGGCTGTAACTCTGATGCCTCAACCCCTCAGTCAGAAGGGGAAAAATATGACAATGTATAGTAGTAAGTACCATTTCAGGTATTTTGTTTCTTCACTCTTATATTGTGATTTCATTTATTATGTTTTATTTTTATGTCTGAAAACCACAGAGACTTTTGACTTGCACTAACTCAGTATTAAACAGAATGCTTGAAGTCTGTGTCTTCACTAACCACTTGCAAAGTAATTGTTTTCATTATACCCATATTTTTATGTGAGCTTATGAAATAATTTTTCTTCTATACATGTACCCGTACATTTTAATACTAAATCCTGGACACTTGTGTTGTTTACTCTGGTAACTCAAATATTTTTATGCAAAATTATTTTGGGGACCATTTTGACAAAAGTGATTGATAAAAATATATTTTTATAAACATGAAATGGTAAATGATATTTTTATTATTTTTAATGCTCAGCTTAAAAAGATACTGTTGATATCATGTATGTATTTTGGTAGAGATGTTTCTTTCACAATAAAATATATATATATATAATAGTTATGTTTGTTTTTAAGTGGCCACAATTAATGAACAGTGTGATTAATGAACAGGACCTGAATTTAATGTGACATTCAGTCTCAAAATGATGAAAATTTAAGCCAAATTATATTAAATCCCTCAATGCATGTAGAAGTTTTGCTCCTGACAAGTGTTTTTCAGAAATCTAATTGTGACCTTGACTTTTAACCTAGAGACAGGGCACTATGTCTCATGGTGGTGAACAATTCTATAAAGTAACATTAAAATTCCTACATGTATGTAAGAGATATGCTCTGAAAAATATATGGATATTTAATCATTTTTAGTGACCTTCGCCTTGCATAATTATATTGACCTCCATTACATGCGTGACAGCTGTAGTCACGAAAATGATCATTTGTGTTACAATCCCTCAATAAATGTTGACTAAATGGTCCCTATCAAATCTCTATATTTTTATCTGAACTTTGACCTCTATGTATGACCTTATCCATGGTAGCAAGAACCTGATTTTAGTGAGCAACACTCTGCTAACAATGATGAACATTTGTGCCAAGTCATAATAAAATCCCTTGGTGTATGTAGTTTTGCTTCAACAAACATTTTTCAATTTTTCTCTTAGTGTGACCTTGACCTTTGACCTAGATCAAGTGCTCGACACAGCTCTTCATAGTGGCTAACAATTCTATAAAGTAGCATTACAATTCTTCCATGCATATAGGAGGTATGCTCTGGACATTATCTGGATATTTAATCATCTCTTGTGACTTTGCAAATATTAACCTAAATTATGTTCCAGATAAAATTGGATGCTGTGTTTACCTTTGTCTTTTTTTTCAATTGGGCGTATAAAAAGCATAAAACTGTTAAAAAGTAGTCTAAATTTAAACAATTTTCTCATCACCACTGTGGGCTGAATTCCACCAGCTTATAAATGGTTGGCATTTTGATGTCCTCTCTTCTTGTTTCTAAAGAGCAACTGTGAGTCAATACATGAACTAAACACCCATAGTGTGACTTAAAATTCAACCGCAAAAAAGGTAGAAAAGTTCAGGTCACTCAATTAGAAATAAAGTACTACAACCTTAGTCAAAAATAAAAACATCAATACCTTTTATACAGTAATCATGTTTATTTAAATGTAACAGCATTCAAAATACACTAATAGTTTACATGTTTATATAAAATTAAATAAAACATGTTAGATCTATACAGTCCATCAGTAATATATAATGTAGTCAGGGATATAAAACTGTGTGACAAAATAGCTTCTCCAGACTCTTTATGTTATAATCATCCATCAAAAAAACAAAATGTTAGCTACGTAATTTAAGTGACACAAGTAAATGGTCAGTAAACAACTTAAAATAAAAATGACTTGACATTTTGCAATTTCATATTTTACTAAGAAAAATTAATCAATAACCCATGTGACCAAAATATTTTCTTTAAATTTCATTCAGAATGTATCACTAAAATCTTAAAAAAGATTGGGGCATACTTTTTATAATTAAGGTAGTTTTTATATTGTATCATACACAATGATTGGCCATTCACAATTATTATAGCCAATCTTAAGATAAATATATATCTAATTCTACTCAGCTTGACAGCAAGAAATTGAGCATCATGTCACTTTAACACTTTTTTCTTCCCTTTCACTGCCATAGGGACGGCATATGCCGTCCCTATTATTTTCGGCGTATTTGCCATATAGACAGCTTTTGCTGTTTCTATAATAATATAATTATAATAATAATAATTATAACAATATTAATAAAAAAATATCTAGATAATTATACCATCGGCAATAATTATTATTATACTATCAGATTGGAAACATATAATATATGTTTCCAATCTGATAGTATAATAATATTAATAATTATTGCCGATGGTATAATTATCTAGATATTTCTTTATTAATATTGTTGTAATTATTATATATAATTATTATAATATTAATAACAAATAATAATAATTATATTAATTAATAATATAGTAATTTCTTAGAAACCTTCTGGCAAATAGGTGATCAATAAATAAATAACCCTCTGGCAGCGAAAGGGCTAAAAAAATATATATTAAAAAAGGAGAAAAAATCAGTTTAAATTTTCTGATAAATATGTCACTAGATAATGAAAGTTAAATATGTCTCATATTTTTTCATCTGATTATTTCACTACTATATGTCATTTTCAATGATGAAATGAGCTGTCCTATAAGCAGTGTACTCCATGTTCCCAAATGCTGGATAGTAATCTGCATACATGTGTATTTACTACAAAAGGAGATACTTTGATTTTAAGAGCACATTGACCTTTTCACCTGAAAATCATGTGACTGTCACAGAGTCTTCCTAAAGACGATTTCTTTCAAAAGAATATTAAGCATTCATTTGACAGATTTCTCAGTATCATTTAGTTTGACTGTGATTTATCACTGTTTGTAACAGATGTATATAAAAGGTCATTCCAATGGAAAATTTCTTAAAAATCATGCAATGTAAAATTAAAAGACCAGCATAAGCTACACACTGACATGAAATTAGTTTTTAGTCATAAGCAAAAAATAGAAAATTCATTTTTTTTTATAATAAAAATAAAAATGAAGAATTAATCTCCAAAATTAATAAAGTATTTTGGAATTCATGCCATCAGGAATAATTGTACCTAGCTTATACATCAATGAAGTTTCTGTTTATAATCTTTGCCAATTATTCTTTACTTAATCAGTTTCCTGTAAACAAATTACACCTAATGAAGACTTTTGATGTTGAAACGGTTGTATAGTTTTCAAATAAAATAATTTTACATTTTTTTAAAACTGAAACTGGAGTTGATTTCTATATTCAAACCTTACATTTTAAAATCCCATGCAGTTTTCATAACTGTAAACTGAACGTACACCAGCTTTTTTTTTCACCTTCCCCTTAATTACTTAATTTTAGCAATTATTTTTCCCAAATTTAAAAGGCTTAGGAGGGCCTCTTCCAAATTAAAAGGCTTAAGGCCGAAATAAATTAGAGAAAACAATTGCTTAATACAGTTTCACATTTAAATATACTATAATTTGTGCTAAATTATTCCCTGATTAGTGATAACAATAAACTTCACATATAATATCTGTATCTTAACATCTATTGTCAGTTTTACACCACTTTTGAAAGTTTTTGATATGTGAGAATGGATGATGTATTGAATATCTAAAAATATATTTTCAAAAGGAAAGGGATACTGTATTTCTCATGTCTACATTAAAATGACATTCATAATGTTATCAAAGTGTGAATAGTTAGTGTGCACATTAAAGTCAAAATAACTTTACATTTTGCAATTAGTACTTTCAATTTCATATTCTACTTCATAAACAATTACCTGCATCACAAAAAAGGAATTTCTACAAATGACATTAGGAATTTATTAGTGATGTTCAAGTGATAAAAAAGAGTGGGTGGGCAGTCTTTTTATATCTTCGGCAGTTTTTATATTTGAATGTTTGTCATTCGCCATTATTGGTCAATCATCATTACAATAGTAATTTTTTTGAAATATCTAGCTAACACAGTTTAACTTGACAGCATTTCAACATGACTTAACACACAAAACGTGTTTGATATTAAATAAATCTGTTCATCAAAATCACAAGAGACACATGTCTAGTCTTGCTCGTCCGGCAGTTCTGGTAATTTAAGTCCCACTAGATTAGCTGCTGATTCAATACTTCTCTCCCCTGCTCCTTTGTAAGCTGAATGTAACTCCTGAAACATAAATGATATTTTCTTAAAAACATTGTCTTTATATCAACAAATGAGAACATTTTTTTATTTCACTTTCCCACTTTTAGCTTATACATTATATACATTATATTATAAGACCATCACAAAATGCTTTCTGGTCGTAAAAAACTTCATGCTAATGAAATTTGACCATACAATAGAGTCATTAGTTGTTATATTCCACATATCCTTGACACCTACTTTTGTAAAAACACTTTTATCATTTTACTTTCATTAAAATTTCAACATCGATTGTTTCAGAACATTCAAATAGATTTAACAGATAGATACATGGAAACTAAAACTTTATGACGCCTGTTGACTGATCACAAACAAGAGCTCTAAGATAGATACAATGTAGCATTTAGATCAACTTTTCACAGTCAATTTGAATATAATTATGGCCTCTGGCCCAAACACAATTCATACAACATCACATAAATAATACATTGTCAGTCAATGCTAGATAATGAAATGAAACCCTGTAGATCTCCTTGATCCAAATAATGGTAATTTAAAAGAAAGTCAAGATTATTAGAATTATTTAAGAGAATTACCTCATGCTGTTTTACACTCTGTAAAAAGCAAAGGTATGTTCTTGCGAGGTACTCCATCTCTACTTTGCTACGACATAATTTTTCTGTAGTAACTCGGTGTTCTCTAAATTGTTTCCTCACATGTTGGTAAGCTGGACTTTCTGTCAACTTGTCCTACAATAAATTCAAAATAAATCCTGAAATGGTAATGAAGCTATATCTTAGGAAATACTTTTAGAAAATTTAATAACAGTAAAATTACATTGTTTTCATAATTATGATTCCCGAAAGAGTTGTAGCATAGAATGTCACTGGTATTAACACATATGAATACTACATATATGTATACATATAGAAAAATATTTTCTGAAACAAAACTTTATGCTGTTCTCGCTATTTTAGGTAGTTCTCGCTATTTTAGGTAGAGTTTTTAACTATTTAGCAGTTACTTCATCAATATACTATTTGTTCTCAGCCAATTAATATGCGTTACATTTGAACACAGGGAAGTCAAAGGTCAGGTACATGAAGCTGGCCTGGGCTTTAATTAATTGGCTTGCTTGACTATAAACTACAGGCGCAGTGTTTTTTTTGTTTTGTTTTTTTCACTAAAATATTCGGCGAAATTCGGCCCCATTCCCCACTCAAAATAGTATGTTTTTTTCCCCTCTCAAAGCCGAACTTTTCCCCTTTAAGGCAGCCCAAATTTGCCTGCAATGAAATATCATTTTGTTTTTGCAACTAACTGCCGAAAAATGTTTTATTCGCAAAACTATCTCAAAGTGACATCATATTTATAGCGAGCTTGAGGAGCTGGCCCGAAGGGTACCTGCTAGATAGTGATGGTTTTGAAAACTTTCGTCCGAAGTACTGAAATGACACATCGCAACTTTTCAAATTAAACCATAAAAGCCGCGGTATTCTGATTGGAAACAGAAGTGTAGACTGGTGTCCTGCGCACTTATAGCGAGCTCGACGAGCTGGCCTGAAGGGTAACGTGAGTACCTGCTATGTGATGGTTTTGAGAACTTTCGTCCGAAATACCTAATTGGACACATCGCAACTTTTCGAATTACAAGATAACAATAAAAGCCGATATACTCTGAAAACGGAAGCGTAGACTGGTATCCTGTGCACTTATATAGAAACCATAATAGAAAGGGGGAACCAGAATAAACGGAAGCAGTGTATAAAAACCCGAATGACAATTTTAAAATCGAAAATGTAAAATAAAAATGAACGATTATTTTAAACTATCTTATGGTTAAAGAAAATCAAGCTCGCTTTGAGGCTTTGCCTTTTTCATATAATATACCTGGGAACCATAATAGGACAACCCAAACCAAAATCGCAAGCTTTATAAAAGCTTGCGACAAGCTTGCAACAAGCTTGTCGCAAGCTTGCAAATAAAGCTTGCGGAAAGCTTAGAATTGGAACCTCGCGGCAAGCTTGCCGCAAGCTTGCGGGAAGCTTGCAGCCTGTTTTCAAAAATGCATGCTTTAGATTTGAAAGGCACCACAAGCTTGCGACAAGCTAGTTGCAAGCTTGCGGCAAGCTAGTTGCAAGCTTGCGGCAAGCTAGTTGCAAGCTTGCGGCAAGCTAGTTGCAAGCTTGCGGCAAGCTAGTTGCAAGCTTGCGACAAGCTAGTTGCAAGCTTGCGGCAAGCTAGTTGCAAGCTTGCGGCAAGCTTGCCTCTAGCTTGCGACAAGCTTGCGTCTGGCCTGTAACAAACTTCTTTTAATTCTCCAATATTGCAATTAATCGTCCTCATGTGATAAGGTATAATATTAATAAACTATTACATAATAGAATTAATTTATTCATTTCAACTTTTTTCTAGATTTACAAGTCATCTTAACAAAAATAATTCTATAACACAAATTCAAAAAATAATAAATGTCTACCAAGTTGAGAAAATAGAAAACAAATATTATTTATTTAAGATAACTGTTTTTTTTGTTTTTGTTGTTGTTTTTTTCAAATAAGTATCCATAATTTATGATAAATCATGTCCTTCACAGATTCAGTCTGTCAGAATGACTTCACTGTTGCACACAACTATCCATATTATTGCCTGCCTGTTGTACACACTGAAAAAAAAAATTGCATCATAATTAATTATTTATGTTTAATATGCATATGATTGGTATTATTGGCATGTAATTAAAAAGATCAATATTTGAAAGCACAAATTGCATAGTAAAATATTATTTTTTGGCAATAGTAAAATATTATTTTTGGGCAATTTTGCCAGTTTAATTATTTATAAAAATTAAAATTGTTCTTGCTGCAATAGTTTTTAATTTTGTTAAATATTTCTATAAATAATTTCAACATTAAATATAGATCTATATCTAACAAGGCAATTGTTAGTTTAAGGTAGTACACCCCTAATGCACAGTCTCCACTTTGAAGAGTATTCAAATAGGCTAAAATCACTGTAAAAAGTATTGAAACTGAGGGGGCGTGGGTTCAAACCCCAGAAGGGGCAATTTTTTTCTCTTTCTTTTTTTCTTTTTAACATTTTTTATTAATCTCTCCGACTCCCTATGGAAGAAAAAAGTGTTTTGTTTTAATTATATAATTATTGTAGGTATTTATTTACTAAATAATGCCAAATTTAATAGCAAATATGATACCAGATATATTCAAAGTTTAATAAAATAAAAACTAAACGGTAAAAGTATTTTGTATTTTGCAAGACCAACCAATAAACATTAAAGAAAATTTAGGCAAACTTTGAAAATAGCCCCTCATTTTGGAAAATTTTAGGGATATTTTAAACCTCATTTTTCTTTCCTTCATCATTATAATTTGAAACTCTCTATGATACCTGTGTAGCATTGTAAGTTTTCCTGTAAATAAGAAAAAATATTCATTACTAATACATAATATATAAATTGTGTAAAATCAAAATGCTTATTCTGATAGTAGTTTGGTACTGTTAATATAAACCCATAATTTACTGAAATATCCTCAAAATGTAAATGGTATGAAAAATCATGACCAGGAATGTAATTTACTGGTACATAATGTAAAGAAAAGGGCAGATTTAAAAATTCCTTCTCAATAACACTCAGTGAAAAAGATTTAAATCAGCACATATGTAAAATTTATGAAGAAAAACAAAAACTAAAATTAAAAGTGTTCATTTGCAAGGTAAATTTGAAAAGACTGTTGTAATAAAATAGTCTAAATAACTTACCATTATTCCATTGAACAGTAGTAAATTTCCATTTCCATCTGATTGAAGAACTCCTTTAATGTCCCATTATAATTTTTTTAAAGTTCACATTATAAAGTTGTTTCATCTAAATGGCACTTTAGTCACATGTTTAACTCTACTCCTAAGCATCTTTTTAAATTATAAGCACTGAGGTCCAAATAAACTCTTCCTGAGTATAATATTTGAATTTTCTGAGATCAAATCCTGATACCAGATTGGTTCAGGGTATTAGATTACATGTTGTAAACCCCACTTATCTCACACTTTCTTTTATATAAGATAGGTGAGTTTAACGCTGGTTATTCTGAAAACAGTAGGGGGAAAGTAATGTTGCACTTGACCGATCACTGACCAATAACACATGTTTATAGTAAGTTACAATCACTTCAATGTGCTAACAGACTACAATTAATACTCATAGGAGACCAATTTATGAAATGTCAAATTGAATCTTAATTATGCCATAATTAACTTCTGCACAAGATAGTTAATATTTAAGAAATGATATACTTGTGCTAATGAATTAAAAATTAAAAGACACATGAATAAAACATTAGCATTCAATGATTGAAATTAAAAAAAATAGCCATTAGACAAAATAAAATGTTCATTATATTTGCTTGTATGTTCACAATTGTTAAAAAATGTGACTTTTATTGAAATTAAAAAAATAGCCATTACACAAAATAAAGTGTTCATTATATTTGCTTGTATGTTCACAATTGTTAAAAAATGGGACTTTTGTTAACTTTCATAATAACTAATTTAAAATACTGACTTTATCTTAGTGTAATTATGTTGAAAGCTTTAATTAGAAATTTATAAGCTGAATTAACACTCTTGATTTCCAGTCTTTCATTTTGATTTTGGATGATTTTCTTTTTTTTACTGAACATCATCCAGATGTCTCAAGTGAACCTCTAATTTTTGACATGGCATTAATTAATAATTTTGAGAAAGTAATAAGAATTTTAATAACACTAGTGAGTAATTAAAAAAAATGATGAAGTTATATGAATCTTAAAAACAAAGAATGTAAGACAGGCAAATAAAATCTATGAAATAAATGATTTCATTTGAATCCCATTATATTATATATAAATGCTAATTAGTTTGAGTGAAATGATTTTATTAACATTTCCAAGTTTTTGTACTTAGAAATTTTTCACTACTTTTCATTTTCCTGCTTTCACAGAATTTTCTAAGTCTAAACTTTCGAAGAAGCTTGCGATAAAAATTGTCTTGTAAGCTTGCGCAAGCTTGCAGAATTCTGTATGAAACTACTGGCGAGCTTGCGCAAGCTTGCAGCAAGCTTACAGCAAGCATAAATAGCCAATGTAAGCTTGCGACAAGCTTGCAGCAAGCTTGCCGCAAGCTTTCCTTTTGGTTTGGGAAGGAACCAGAATAAACGGAAGCAGCGTATAAAATACCAAATGACAATTTTAAAACAGAAAATGTAAAAAAAAATGAACAATTATTTTATACTATTTCACGATAAAAGTAAATCGAGCTCACTTTGAGGCTTTGCCTTCTTCATACGGGGAAGTCAAAGTCCTTTGGCTTTGGCTTGCCCGGCTATAGACTACACATGTATATTTAAAAGAAAATCAAATAAAAAAAAAAAAAAAAATATATAGAATTCTATAACTATCAATGAAATTTTCAGTGTCAGTTCTAGTTAGGCGCCGCCATTTACAATGTAACTCAATGATAAAAGACGGTGTATTCCGATAACGGAACAAATCTCAACTTTTCGGATAAATAATAAACATCGAGTGTTCCGAGTGAAAACGGAAGTAGTGCATGAAATACCAAATGACACTTTTAAAACGGAAAAAATGAAAGGAATTTTTAACGACTTCCCCGTTCATAGGCTTTGCCTAATTTCATATCATTAGGACTAGGGAACCAGACACTTTAGATCTCAGACACTTCAAATTTTGAAGATAAATAGTCAACCCTCTTATGACTTCCTCCATAGAGACGCATTGTCCGTAGGCTTTTTCTAGGGGAAAAAGACACAACTTTGGCCAGACAACTTATTTTTCTTTAAAAAAAAAATCCATCTATGTCGCGAAAACCGGCAACAAATGAGGAATGTTTAAGATCCTGCATTACTATTGACAAACAAATTCCTAATTATCTAAAAGCTAAAAATTTTGTTTCAATACTTTGTAAAAAATACCTTTGGGTAAACAGCTCTCAGTTCACGCAGCAAAGTTCTGTACAAGGTCAGAATTTCCCTGGAAGCTGCCATGACAGTCTAGATCTTGCAGACGCTTACAAAATGATTCAGAAAACAATAAGCGTTTGTGAAACGAACAGAAAATTGTGAAATGGCAGAAAAATCACTTTCCGATCAAAATTTACCAGACACATTCAACGAAATTTGGAAATTTTATGATTTATTGGAGAAGACTGAAGAATCTACTAGTTCTGATAAAGTGCAGGTAAATAATTTAACTCACTTTTATGAAATGCCTATTTTTCAAAGTAGCACGTTTTCGGATAGATCTAGTTTGTCAGAACTGTAAAATAAACTTTGCACATAATTTATAGAGAAGGCACAATAGGCAAAAGAATTGGCTGAAATTGTCATCAAGTGCACAACATATAAGAATCACTTTTCAGTCATCTGTGTGAATGAGCTAACATTTTGATACATATGTGGCCTAAGGAACAATCTAGGTAACTGTACTAGATAGTCCAAAATACAGGATAAATCAATACTTCAAATACTTATGCATAAAAAGCCATAATTAATAGCTTTTCCAGTTGAATGATATTTGGCTGAGTTTACATGACCCTTGAATAAAATATACGATGCTGTCCGGTAATCTTGCGCACCTAAGCACTTATCGGCTAATTTACTTAAATTACTACGATTCAAATAAATACAAAAAATTCATAATTATTTTCCTATTTGCAAAAAATCTTAAAGACATATAATGACACAAATATTTTTTGGAAATAACTCATTGAACTGCAGGAGTGCAGCAATGTAAACACTTACCACCATGTTTAATCCCAACATTCAATTGTCCGGTGATCTTGCGCATGCATTATGAATGACGTCACGGTAGCTGTTTTTTTAAAGTATGGTGTCCCAGTAGTACTATCAATATAAATTTTGTGAGTCCAATTTATGAAAGGTTAATTTAAACTGTTCAAACTGTTCAAACAAAACTGTAACACAAACTTATTTACATCAAGGATTTGTTATTTTACTGTTCAGTGTGTTCACTACTACACCTTGGACACCTGAAATCACCACTTCCGGTCAGTGTCTTAATTTCTGTACAGAATTTCAGACATTGACTACACACAGTACAACACCCCCAGTTAACAAATTTAATGCTCTTACCTTTTACGCTTCCGTAGAAAAATAATTGAAAAGCGCGGGAGGGGCTTTCCATTTTGACAAGATGGCGAGAATCGGCAGGAGATAACAACTGAATGCAAAGGGAAAAAAGGAAATTTACAACGTTTAAGCGGTGCAATACTGTTTTAAAATGTGTGATATTGTTTTTCATTCTTGCTGGACGTAAAATTTTGGAACTGGATGAATAGACAGGAATATAATGGGAAAATAGGTCAGTGGGCGTGTTTATGAATAAATAATTAGGATGACGAAATAATATAAACAAACATGTTTGACAGATATTTTTTTTAACTTTCTTACTTAAATAAGCCCAAGTCACAAATTTTGGCTGAAAATTTCTAGCGACAGCATAAACAAACAAACAAACGAAAGGAAATATACTTCTGGTGCCGAGTGCGCAAGATCACCGGCCGCGCAAGATCACCGGACATGACTGTACGTTTTAGCCCGATAATCATTTTTGTGTCTCCTGCTACACAGTAGCTACAACATGCTACAAAGTAGCTGCAACAGGAACAGACTGGTAAATCACCTCACAATACAACTTCATTGGCTATCATCAGGCAAAACAGGCTGATATCTGACTAAGAGCAGATCCTGGAGACCAAACTACCTCTTCCATTCTTTTCCAATCTACGATTCAGCTGGCATTGTCCTGACTGAAGCCAAGAGAAGTAGCCCTACAGAGTAGGCAGGGATAACGAGGATTCCAAGGATAATATAATGATGAGATGGCTTGAATGGGGACACTCAGTGTTGGCAACAACAGCGCTTTTCAGGAGTAACATCTTTCATTTTTGTCACTGGTTACTGAACATTTAGGTGATCATCAACCGCTGTACAATGACCTACTTTTGGCTAAAAATTTATTTCTTTGGCTTATACTCTGTGGAAATTGCATGGAGGTAAATTATCACCATGTGTTTTAAAATTAACTCCTAAAGCACATGACAAATTTATGACAAAACTAGCATCCATACTGTAAGCCTTACTTTTAAAATCCCACATTCTGTTAATTGTATTTAAAAATAAGTTGGGAATAGAGATACTTTAGAAGTCTGCAATTCTGAATGGTATTGCAGTATGAAGATATAGCTGTAAAAGTTTGTTTTTTGTTTTTAATTTTGGTTTAGATAGAAAAACCCACATTTGCCATTTAGGTCCTGACAGTATCTATTTCATATGATTACAGGGCTATGTATACCATGCCTGCGATATGTGCAAGAAAGCCATAATGATGGTAAATAAACTAGAACTGTTCAGCAGAAACGAAGATATAGACGAAGTGTCTTCCGGAGAAATAAAGTAAGTACAGTTAATGTTGCCATGGTTATGCCTGAAAATGTTTATTACAGCACTTTCTACATTTTGTACGGCATTTTAAATCTAGATGTTTAAGCTGTCAGTATGTGAAAAAATGCAATTGATTACAGTGACAGTATGAAGAATTGAGATACAGTTTTTATATGCCCGTTTGAAAAGGGGTTGTATTATAGTTCTCTCCCCTGGCTGGCAGGTAGGGTCCAATATAGGATAATATGTTGAGTGTTAAGCTTTGGTGAACTCTCACAAACTTATTGTACGATAAATGACTGAACAAATACCTCGAGTTTAAAAGTCATTGGAGTTAATTATGGCTTTATAATCATGAATATAATTTGTTCATTTATGCATGTATTATGATATCTCTATTCAATCATTTTTGCTTTATGATCATGCTCATGTAGAACTTGATATAGAGATTCAAGTTTAACCTTTAACCTGCTTTAAACCAATTTCAATTTGGAACACACACAGTCCATTTGAAGTTTAAGGAATGTCACTGTCACAATACAAAATTGAGCAATTAAAAGTATAGAGCCAGTTCAGATTGCACAAAGGCTGTCCATTTTCTGTTCCAGCATGACTGTAAGGGTTAGAAATACATGTATAATGAAGAGTTGTCAATACTTTATATATAAAGTAAGGTCAGGTTGCTTAAAGGTACAGGCTGGTTTGATACTGTACTGATGGAGTATTTTACCCATCTTGTTACTATATCTAACAAACATGCTAGCAGATCTAAGACACCTAATACATTTACTTATAGATATAATTATGTTCAGATTTGTGTAAATTTTTGTGTTATTATCAGGTATTTATTGTTGCCTGGTTTGATGGGATATTTTCTAATGAAGAATACAGTAAGAGACAGGCTGAAAGTGGTTACAGAAAGTCAGGTAAGTTGCCACTAGAAAATATATATATATGTTTTGTGTTTTATATAATTTTTGTTGTTGTTATGATTTTGGTTTCAGGAAATATTAAGAGCACTTTTTAAATTGTATTTTTTATGCATTTTGTTGATAAAAAGATTTGAAATTAAGTAATTTGTAGGAATTAAACTAATGAATTAAAGTTAATCTGACTTGTACAATTAGTAGGGAACTGTTAATCAAGACACTGTCTCTGTCGTTATTGTTTTTTACCAGTCATCTGTTTATTGTCTAATAAATTAAGTGTTTGACTGAGTTACATAATTATCTTCCAAAGTTGAGTTACTTGATATGTAATCTATTCTAAAGATCATGTTTATTATTATGTAGTATATTTGCATATTCTCATTGCTTGGTGATCTAAATACGTAAATGAAATTTTGATAAATCTTGTTACAAGTGAAGTAAATGCAAAATATTTTATTAGTTTTTGGCTACTGTAATGCAAGTACATGTAATATAAAGCAGTAGTTATAGACAAGTATCAAAAAGTTATAATAGCCATTTTGTTAATGTCAGTACTAAAAGCTTTCTGATAATTTGTTTGATATTAATATTAGTTGTTTGTATTGGTAAAAAAATTAACCTTAAAATTTCTAGTTTATTTATAGTTTAAAAGCATTAATTATGTAATGTATGTTGCCTATTTTGGTATATTACAGGATTTTTACACAGACTTTTTAAAAATGTGTCGCAGTTATAATGTAACAACTTTTGAAGTCCCAGAGAAGAAAGAGGCAACAAATTCTGATACTACTGTAGTTGTAAGGACCGCCCCTCCTAGACCTAGGTAAGACAAGCCACACCTCCTCTAAGACATAGAAAAAATAAAGCCCTCCCTCATGTTAAACTTGTTACAGCAAGACCAAGCCTCCATGAGTCCATTACTCTCGGCTATTAGCAATTGCTTGAAAGCATATACATTAATATTTAAAGTATATGCCTAGCATTGACTTCAACACTTTGGTGGGGTTGTATTTCATAATAGTTAAGCAATGTTTTTAAGCAGTGATTAAGCAGTGCCAGGTTAAATACATTGGCACAGTTGTTCTAAACTTTTGTTAAATATTTAACAATGGTATTATCGTTAAATTAACAAAAGATTTGTTAAGTGCTGCATTCAATTTTGTTGTTAAGCAATCCTGTGGTTCAGACATTGTTAACAAAAGTTTTGAACAACTGTTTTATTGTTGTAACCAAAAATCTTGTAAAAACATTTGTTTTTGTTAGTAATAATTATGCCAGTATTTAACTCATACCAGGCTAAAGATCTAAGATGGACTCGATCTGTATGTAACTATTCATCAGTTTAAAGGAAAATTTGAAAACATGTATTGACTGAATAGCAAACAGTGCAGATCATGATCTGAGGGCACAGATGTGTACTGGGTTGACTTGATAGATATGAATGTAACAGTGTTTAAGATATACTATGCTCATCCTTGAGTAAAATATCCTAATCATACAAATTTATTGAAATCTATGAAATTCTTCCTGAGTATGTCTAATTTGAATAAAAGAATGAATAAACTATGTATGGGAAGCTGCATTCCCTATTACAGTTCAAGCAAAGTTGGTACAGTTGCCAGTTTATTTTAATGACACTATATATTTATATTTTGACCACCTATAGTGTGAAGTCAAAACATGTTTATTATTATATTTATAAAGAAACTGTGTAGCAATAATCAATAGTTTTTACATCAAATTTGAGCATATCTTTAATATAAAAGTTCTTCTAATGTTAATAGTTTTATCTTTATCTGTAAGTCAGTATTTTATATCTTTGTTAGTACCTTGTAAAATGCTAAGCGTAGAATCTATTTTTATCACACACCCCTGTTGATTTTGCGACTCCGTAAAAATGGTATTGCACAGCCGTGCATATATTTTAACGTGACGTCATTAGTGTTATACGAAGTGTAAAGACACGCTAAATGTTAGCGTTATACTATAGGCGCGTCAATGAAAGTGACTCTTTTTTCAATTTAAATGGTCTTTATATTGGGTAATTGATAAATAGAATTTTAAATTTGTGTAAGTTCATTACTGAATTTATTGAACTCGTTGAATAAAATAATATTTTGCTCATCAGATGCTCCAAAAAATAATTTTATTCAACTCGTTCAATAAATTCAGTATTGAACATACACTCATTCACTCATTCAATATCCTCTATATATTACAGTCCAGCAGATCTACGTGGAATGTCAGGACAGAGAAATAATAAAATACAAAGATATAAAGAACAGAAAGAGCTAGAGAAGAAGTTGCATGATTTAAAAGAGGTTGTGGAACAAGATCATGTTGATGATGAAGTTAAGGTAAGGGTTACATGTGTAGATTACAATTGTGACTTTTTAGATTTTTATGGTACCAGAATTGAAGCTTATATCCCTTGTTTATATACATGTATATAATCCATATCAATTGAAACTTTAACATTAAATGTCACTCAGCAAAGATAATGTTTTGAAAATTTGACATTGTTTATTCAGAAATCATTTTCATACTTACTACCTAATTTAGTAAATATTTCTTGTGGCATTAATATACTTTGAATTGAACCTGTCAGTTGATAAATTAAGAGACTTACCAATGGAAAAGCTGACATTAAAGACTGCAGGGATATAGACTGGCCTGGATTTATACTTGTGGCATGTAAATATACTATAGCATAGCCAATATTTCAGCTAGCGTTGGATTGTTGGCCTTGTTTTATACTATAATATAGACAGTTAATTGTTACTGCTGGCATTTATAGTATACAACAATATAACATTGTACACATTCAAAATGTGTTGCTATTTTATATTTTCAGAGAGAATATTACCTCACATTATTAAGAAGATGGGTGAACATTTGTATAGATGAGCTAGACAGTATTGAAGGTACGTCAGATATTCCCATTTGTTCTTTAAGCTGTATTCCTTCAGATGACTACAATTAATCTTTAAAGGAATCAAACTTATGAAAGTTACAGATCTATATTTTTAAGAAATATATAAATTATCACAATCCAGGGGGAAACTTTAAATGTTTTATGCAAGATTGACAAAATTCACTATTTCTAACAACAAAATTTAACTTTTCATTACTGTCATAGCAACAGAAATGTTCAGCATAATTTGTGTGCAAATTTATTGCCTAAGGCTCTGTTAGATCACTTAGTTTGTACACTTAACATTATATTTAGGCACTAAAATATTTTTTTTAAGACTTCACAAAAACTGAAACAAATCAGGAAGGATTCTGCTTTTAGACAGGGTGACATTCTTGTCATAGTCTAATAAATATGGGAGAATAAATGATAAAGTGCATAGCAGTGTTTGACTGGAGTGTTTATTTGCTTTCAGTTATTACATATATCATAACTAATGTACATAACTGATGACTTACTGTATCCAACATTGAGTCCATTCTTTGGAGGTAAATAAGGCATTTCGTACCGTATCATGTTGAAAAATTTGGTAATCATCCTTTCTTAGGGAAGACATTTGATGACAAGAAACTAAATATTTCAAACACACACATATTTATGCTAAATTAATAAACAGCATTGCATGTATTTAATTTAAATATATACAAACAACAACAGAAAACAACACACAAACATCCAAAAAGAACACCCTTGTACAACTTCTTCTGGTAAATTACATCAAGTTGTACTTGTAAAGTATAACATATCAGTTTCATTGTTTTGATGTTACAGGGGAAATAGGTATTTTAGAGCTTATGGCTAAAAGAAAGGGAGATAAATCACACAGTGAACCTCCGAAAAAAGTAGAAGATCAAAGTTCAGCAGTAAGTTATTTTCTATATTAGAATTTAGCATGATTGTATATGGATTTAACTCATTACAGGATTGGAGCAATACCTCTAGACGCTTGCAGAAATCATAGTAAAAAAAAAGACAAATATTGTTTATTTTTTCACCAATTCTTACATTTTTCATTCATTTTCATATTATAAATCAGTATGAAAAGATAATTTAGATCTTTTAAAGTTCTTTTCCTTGTGTGAAAAGGCAAGATTTTAGCATTAATCATTCAAGCGTCTTGTCCGGTATATTCCTGAATACGTTATTTAGTGTGGTCCTCCAATCCTTTTTTAGTCTCACTCATTGTATATACATTTGTTGTTGTTCCTGCCCTTTTATTGTCTCACCATCCCAAATTTGCATCCTAAATTGTTGTTCCTCTATTGTTGTCACAATTTTGACTCTCCAAAATTTGAATGCTCAATGATGAAATTATGTTCTACTCATTGGCAGTGTCAAGGCATTCAGTATCAAATATAAAAATTAAGCAACAAATTGTAATAAGATCTGTAGATAAGTTTAAATATATTCACAGTCAAGACAACCTAATTAGGAGTCCAGAACTTTAACCACAGGTTTCTTGCAGAACATAAGTAATAAAAAAAAAAGATGAAAAAATGAATATAAAACAACAATGTAATCTGAACTATTTAAAAATATAATATTTCTGGTCAGTTTTATTACAATAACTCAAGGAAATAACAGGTGAATAGAGCTAATTATTTGAAGAAGAATTCAAAAGGTAGATGTTTACTATGCCTAGTATCAGATCATTTGTCTGAATAAGTATTACATGTATATAAAAATTGTTTATGATTGAATTATAATTTTTCAGCCCCTCCGTCCATTTATTATAACTAAAGATATGATACAGAAACAGATATATGGTCTGGGATATCCTGGTATACCCACCATGACTATAGAGGAATTCTTTGATAAAAAAGTTGAGGAGGGAACATTACATGCTCATACGTAAGTCATACAAACCCACAACTACGTGAATTGAATCATTTAATTAAGGTTCAATACACACCATTTTACAAGTTTTAAATTACATAAAATGAATAAAATAAGTAATTCAATATACAACCATTAAAACACTATATTTGTACCAATGACTTACCTTGCTTGGAACTTTAAACTGTCCATTATCAAAGTTGTACAAATAAAATTCCTGGTAAGAGTGAACTAGCCAGTAATTTAAGATTTTCCTGGAAGCTCAGCTACCCGGAACATAAATTATATATTGTGGCCGGGAATGTATATGGATACTGATGTTTAAATTTTGTTTTTCATATTCGAATATTTTCGAATATATTTGAATATTCGTTTGGCCTATCCATGTCTTTCTTATTTTGTGTTCCAAATTGTATATGTCTGAATACAATGTAATTTCAATAAACTTAGAAGTACATGTACCAAAATCTCAAATATGGTAATATTTCATGTCCTGATTCGAGCCTTCTTTCTAAAAACTTACTAATTAGTGTTTGCCGCATTCTGTAAATTGTTCAAAAATAAAAGTCAATTAAGCATTTCCTAACATTATTTGAACATATTATTTGATATCAATAGACAACAATTAACATTATATTACAGAGGTGGACACAGTATGGAAGACTGGGCGAAGGATCCGGATAAAGATAAAGTAGAACAAGAGAAGGAAGAGGCTGAGAAAGAAACCCGTCTAGAGAATGATGATCCTGATGAACTCAAGAAAGCCAGAGACTGGGACGAGTATAGGGATGGTAAGTGTGTTATTTTGTTAGCTCCACTGTATGAAATACAAGTTGAGCCTCTCCTACTGACTAGCTACTACTCACTCCAGTGTCAGAGTCAATGTAAAGATTTCTGATTAAAGTTTTTTGCATACAGTATTGTTTACTATAACTTCATTATTTCTTAAGGTATCAACTTCAAACATATGTTCCTTATCATCAACCACATCATATTTGATAGGTTTATTAACTCTAGAAGAAGAAATATTTCCAGAATTATCTCCCTTTTACTAAAAATTTCTCCTTAAGGAATGTAATTTCTTTCTTTTTTAAAGGTGTCTACTTAAATCTTCAAATATTTATATGTTCAGATTCATAACTCTACCATGACTACTGACAGAATTATGTATACAAATTGATATATTTATTTATGCTTCATATCAAGGGTAAGACCTACAGACACTTTATTAAAGGAGTTAATTGTTTAATATTATGTCCCAATTAATGCTGAATGAGATGCTCTTTTATAGAAGACTTTGCGTTAAGGCATTAATGTAAATGAAGGAGTTTAGACAACACTTTGTAGAAGCCATTTGAAGTCAATATTTTTTAGCTGTGTACAATTTGAATACACTTCCATCTTAATAGAATTATATGGGCTTTTTTAATTATTTAAAAGTTATTGCTTCAATATATTTCGATATCTGAAAACATATTGCATTGTGGTGTAATATTGCCAGATGAAATATTGCAATAGTCAATATATTGTGATATATTGTACTCCCCTAAATCTATCTATATACATATGTCATATATAACTGGCTATAGCAGACTAGTATATCATTGTATATCATATATCAATCTGCATAATTATCTCAAATGACATGTTATATCAGGTGTCATTAAATTTTGATGGGATACATCTTTCCTGAGTTTTACATAAAGATTGTACACTCTATATTTATAAGTGCCAGCTATTGAAAATTTACATTGTTTTGCCTCGCATTAAATTTTATTTTTAGTTGTAAGTTACACATATTACTGGGAAATAATCTCATTTTTAATGATAACTACCTCATAATTCTAGAGAATTAATTTGAAAATACAAATGTACTTGTAATTTACAATAATTTATGATGGTGTGCAGGTGTTGATGTAACTAATTACCAACAACTATGATCATACTTTTATTTAAAAAAATATACAGTGCACCAGTGTTTTATCTGTTATTAAGATGATGTGCTGTCTGCAAGATTTTAGATGAAGAACTAGGAATATTTCTTCTTTCAGAAATATTGCAAGTTGAGTTTTATTTATTTGTTGGTGATAGATTTTTCTGCCTGATTTGAACTGTATCATAATATTTAACAGCCAGTCTAGTATTTATTTTTTTATGTTATCAAAAAAAATTAGAATAATAAAGAATTAAGAATAAAAATGAAAAGTACAGAAAACTTAATATCTCCGCAGTCTGACCAGGCTCTATACTGATTTTAGATTGTCTCAAAAAAACAGAGAGTTGTTATACTCACCCAGGTGTTAGTGTCACACTTTAGTAAAGTTTCGTGTTCAAGTTGGTATCTCCAAAACTGTGGAAGTGAATTTGTTGAAACTTCACACTCTTATCTGAGAGCATAATAGGATGTCACTATCCAAGGCCCGTAACTCTTATCATGGATTTTGACGGAATTATGGCCCTTTTAGAACTTTGAAATTTTTACTTTATTTAGGCTTTTGTTTTACTATCAGACAATGAGAATAGTCTAGCATGTTGTCCTACCATCAGCTCTTGCTGTATTCTAATTCTGAAATCTCTTACATTTTGAACTACAAATGGACTGTTACAAATTCAAAAAGAATTAGGTTTCACTTTACATCATTTTATGATTGAAGTTATATGATCTAACTAATTTATCTTTACAGATCATAGAAGAGGATGGGGTAACAGAAAGAATCGACATTGAGGGGACGCATGGTCTAAGCTGTAGAATCAACAAATTTTACACTGTGATAAATATAACATCATGAAATAATCATAACACTTTTACATAAATAAATCATCTAACTTTTTGTTTAAGGTCACCTTAAACTATAAATACTATAATTAGAGGATAATTTTATCAAACTCTCATTTTGAAGAGAGGAATGATGGTGGCCTGGTGATTAAGGAAACTGCCACACAATGCATGGATGGTGGGGTTAAGCTCTGCTAGGGTCACAACAATGTATCCTTAGATGAGACCCAGTACTGGTAAGTTCCAGGAAGCAGAATCAAGATTGGGTCATATAAGTTTCCAGCAATCCCTACAATCTTGATAAATCATTAATGTTAAATTCTTGCCCTAGTGGAACATAAGTGGGCTGCCATTGCCATTAGTATAGAACCAGGCCAGCCTGACCAGGCTTTGTACTGTTGTATTATCAACTTTGATATTCTTAAGATTAATAGTCTGTTAAAAAAGGTCTGCAAGTTCATTAGTATATTGTTTTGTAATTGCAAGTGTGTGATTGAATTCTGCCAAATAATCATGTAGTAACACTCATGGTGAACTTGTTTTAAATGATATAAAGGATTTCATTCAAGTGAATTTAATAAGTACCAGTTTTATTGTTAGTTATCTTCTTTTGAAGGTACCAATAATTTATTTTGGATATGGAAATCAGGTACAGATCTGTTTAAACAATCAACACATTATTTCTGTATTTACATGTGTAAATGAAATGTCTTACTTTTGTCATTTGTTATAAATGTAAGCCAATGCATCAGAATGAGATTTTACTGTTGTAATAAATGTGTGTAAGAGTTATTTTTCATTTGTTTTTATCTAAAGAAATATATGTAAAAATGAACAGTAAAAAAGAACAATATGAAAAGAACAAAAAAACTGTAAAAAGTGATAATCCAAATAAATTCAGTTCTTAGTAATTTCCTAAAAGATTAAAAATCTTGCCATATTTTTTCAGCTCACCTGTCACAAAGTGACATGGTGAGTTTTTGTGATCGCTTTTCGTCCGGCGTCCGTCCGGCATCCGTCTGTCCGTAAACTTTTACTTTAAACGACATCTCCTCGTAAACCACTAGGCCAATTTCATCCAAACTTCACAGGAATGTTCCTTTGGTAGTCAACTTTAAAAATTGTTCAAAGAATTTAATTCCAAGCAGAACTCTGGTTGCCATGGCACCGAAAGAAAAAACTTAAAATATCTTCTTGTAGAAAACCGCAAGAGCTAGAGCTAAAATATTTGGCATGAAACATCACCTATTCAGTGTCCACCAAGTTTGTTCAAATAAATGCCCTAGGGTCAAAATTGGCCCGGCCCCAGGGGGTCATTGATTTTCCTTATTTGTATATAGTAAAAACTTAAAACATCTTCTTTAAAAAACCCAAATAGTTACAGCTTAAATATTAAGCATGAAACATCTTCTAGTGGATGTCTACCAAGTTTGTTCAAATAAATGCCCTGGGGTCAAAATTGGCTCTGCCCCGGGGGTCATTGATTTTCCTTATTTGTATATAGTAAAAACTTAAAATATCTTCTTTTAGAAAACCGCAAGAGCTAGAGCTTAAATATTTGGCATGAAACATCAACTAGTCAGTGTCTACCAAGTTTGTTCAAATAAATGCCCTGGGGTCAAAATTGGCCCCGCCCCGAGGGGTCATTGATTTTCCTTATTTGTATATAGTAAAAACTTTAAAAAAATTCTTTTAAAAACCCCAAATAGCTAGAGCTTAAATATTAAGCATGAAACATCTTCTAGTGGGTGTCTACCAAGTTTGTTCAAATAAATACCCTTGGGTTAAAATTTGCCCGGCCCCGGGGGTCATAGATTTTCCTTATTAAATGTATATAGAAAAAAACTTAAAAATATTTTCTTTTAGAAAACCGCAAGAGCTGGAGCTTAAATATTAAGCATGAAACATCTTCTAGTGAGTGTCTACCAAGTTTGTTCAAATCAATGCCCTGGGGTCAAAATTGGCCTCGCCCTGGAGGTCATTGATTTTCCTTATTTGTATATAGTAAAAACTTAAAAAAAAATTCTTTTAAAAACCCCAAATAGCTAGAGCTTAGATATTAAGCATGAAATATCTTCTAGTGAATTACTACCAAGTTTGTTCAAATCAAAGCCCTGGAGTTAAAATTGGCCCCGCCCCAGGGGGTAATTGATTCTCATTATTTTGTAGAGAGTAAAAACTTAAAATATCTTCTTTTAAAAAAAACAAAAGAGCTAGAGTTGAGATACTAAGCATGAAATATTTTCTAGTTAGTATCTACCAAGTTTGTTTAAATAAAAGCCCTGGGGTCAAAATTGGCCCCTCCAGAATGGGTGGGGGTGTCATTTTTTTCCTATATGTATATAGTAAAAACTTACAAAAATCTTCTCATAAAAACCCCAAGGAGTTAAAGCTTATATAATTATCATGAAACATCTTCTAATGGCTGTCTACCAAGTTTGCTCAAATAAAAGTCCCTGGTTTAAAATTGGCATTGGCCCAGGGGCCTATATACAGGTGAGCGATTTCAGGGCCATCATGGCCCTCTTGTTATTATGTAAAATGACTTTTAATAGGGACATAACCCTTCTTTACCTGTACCTTTTTACTTTTCTATCATATGTTCATAGACACTTTCTATGACCCTTCTTAGCTCCCCTTGTTTTCTTTATATTGTAAAAAAGTTATTTGAAGAATTCTAGAATCGAATTTGCTGCATGACAACTATCAGAATGTTTTAAAACTTACGATACCATTGGTTACAAACGCAAGTCAAAGACGAGTTCATTACAGCTATACCATGAAGATAGAAAGTGACTTTGTATTCATTTATCCTGATGGAGACATTCAGTCACCCAGATATATCATCTTTGTAACTTCCACTATATAGGTTCATCCTCGAGAAATAGAGAACTGCCTACGAGCAGCGGTATGTTAAGATTTCTGCCTATCAACCAAAAAATCGTGGGTTTGAGCCCTACTGGGGCCTCTGTCATATCTACTTGTACTACCAGACATGCTTAGTTCCAGGAACGGACTCGAAAGTGGTTCAAATAAACTGAAAATTGTCTTTACAGCAACTGACGAAATATGTAGTTTTCCATATATCTGTGTAAGCAGTTTTACAAGTATTAAATTACACAATGTGACGGAGGGTGGCACCGAGATGCTACTTACTAGTACTTAGTTAATGTTTATTTCAAGGTGGTCATACCATGCGCGAAATATTAACGAGAAAGGGAAGACTTGTGTCAAGGCATCTGGAATATTAATAAAAACTAGAAATAAGGACATCTTTGCAAAAGAAATTTAATTCAAATCTATTCTGATTGCTTTACATGACTCGATTTTGTTCAAAATATCGGGTGAAAAAGTGTTTGCGGTATCAGAATTTTGAGGATGCGCGCGCATGGTATGACTCCCTTGTATTTGAAAGATATGAGATTGACAACAGCGTAATAGTTATTTGCAGTTACGAATCCTTCTAATATCTTGTTACGCGTCATTTCTTGTTTGCATTTTGAAAAAAAAGTGACTTAAAGCAGCACGCCCTCAGATTCATGCTAATTTTCATGAAAATGTTGGAAATGTATTTGAATGTGTAATATTGTATAGTAACCAAAAACAGGGTCTTTCAAATTTCTATTTGAAAGACCCTGCCAAAAAGAAAAATTTTCACATTATCAATAGCACTTACAAACCACGTAAATTACCAAAAGTGGTCAAAATATGCATAATTAGCATTTACTGCGTTAGTAACGCAGTAGAAATATAGATGTAAATACTGAAAATCAGTTATAAATCGCACATTATAAGCAAAATATTACTTGAATCTTGAAACTTTTCACTTTTCCTTACATCTTAGTAATGTTTTCTCAAATTTGATTTTATTGAAATATTTTGACTCATCTGGAGGCATGTAGCTTTAAATGTATTTTTTTTTTCATATTTTTGTTTATAAATGTACGAGCGGGGAAATGTCCGTGGGGTAATATACACTGAAAGGGTAATTGCTCACTCTGTCAAAGGTATTGGGAAATTATCGGAGGTTTAAAAAGTCAGACAATATAAATAAAGAGGAATTGGCTGTAAGGAAAATTATCCGAACTCGTATCAAGTAATGGCCAATCCATTCTCCTGTTTGCGGGGGTTTCAATACTTAAGGCCTCCGGATCTCGAGATCGTTGCTCTACCCCCTACACTATACTTTGTCCTACATGTGTATTTGATACAATACATAACAAAATGTTTGATTTTCTCTGGGTATTTTTGTTGCTGCTGTTATGTGAATGAAACAACAACAAAGAAATCATCCGAAATAAGTGTCTTCAATTGCGACACACGTTAGGTTTTTGTCGTCACAGTACAGTCCTGTATCACAGAGAACAGTTGGCGGATAAAACATAGCATGAAGGCTGTCCCCACTCTCACATGGTTCGCCAAGTCCTGAAACCAAATGAAAATGATTGTATATTAATTTATTTTTAAACATCTGTACTTGAAATGTCAAGTTAATGAACTTTTACATGAAATGCGTTATTAGTGAATAATGATCAAAGGCCGCTTTGCTGTATCAAACAGAAGAAACGTTCGGAGTATACTGAACAAAAGAAATGTTCTAAATCAACAGCTGATATTTTTCACAAAAAAGAAAGAAAGAAAGAAATGTATACCAAAAGAAACGTTCAAAACAAACCAGGATCGTTTATATTACATACGCTGAATATACCAAACAAAATATAGGGTCGAAGTATATTGATCAATGAAAAGAAAATAAAAAACAATCGAAATATATTTAAGAAAAAATCAAATATGCCAAACCAAAGAAATTATTAGCCTGTGTGTAATAACGAAATACATCACTTCATTGAAACGACGATCGGAATCATAGTAATTGTAAGGATTACGCAAGTAATACATGCATTTCAGACAGAAATATCGTGTCAAATATTGTATCAACACCACATCCCCACCCTCCTGATAAAGTTTCCATAGATAACACCTACCGACACACGTGAAACACGCTTTACAACAACCGCACAATCCGCCACCTAACCGCATGGTCCCTGTACAATTGTCCGGATTTACCGGGTCACACTGCACATACTCGCAATCCGGATTCTGACAAATAAGTCCAGACGTTACTGCAACAAGAACTGTTACCATGGCAACAGTTTTCACAACACACATTATTTCATCCATATTTAGATGTCGCTTCGTTTTGATGAATTGAAAACAAAATCACAGGGTTTTCATGTATATACCACAGAAGGTCCAATTCCGTATTTTCAAATCTGATAAGAAAGTACGTTGTTACGACATACGCACAAAGGATTTCAAACTTTTATCTAGAACAAGTAAAAAAAGTTTTAAAGGGAGCTACATCAATTTGTATTGTATATCTGTCATTGACCGTTGTGATGGAAGCAGGATACCGATCACATCTAAATATGTATCCAACTCTTAAAAAGTAAAATAAATTATCATGGGCCTTGAAAAAGGCGTCATATAGGGGTTTCTTTTGTCGGCGTCGTTGTGCACAAGAACCGGTACTCTGCATTTCTTATTTTTTGAGTTATTGTCCTTTGTTAAGTTTCATACAGTATTTTTGTCCAGGCCATTTCTCCTAAAGTATAAAAGCTATGGTCTTTCAACTTCATATTATTAGGATGATAGATCTTTTTGATAAGAAGTCCTGGGCACCAGAACCGGTACTCTGCACTTCTTAATTTATGAGTTATTGCCCTTTGTTAATTTTCATATTTATTTTTGTCCTGGCCATTTCTCCTAAACTACATTGTTCACAAGGCGACACATCTGGCTCCCGGAGTTCTAGTTTTCGAATGTATAAAAAGGCCCGTTTAAGTCAAATTATGCTCATTTTTTCATTGTCAAATTGACTTCAATTGACTATATATTTCAATAAATTGGTCGTTATAATGGTGATTGTAACACATGATATTTGAAAATGTTTAGAGTAAAAATAAATCTACCTAAATATATAAAAAGACTGCCCCACTCTTTTAATGAATTGAACTTTAATGATACATTCCGACGGATAATTACACACATTTCACAGGGCCTAGTGAGTTATTTATCGTTCATGTGAAGTAAATCATAAAATTGAAAGGAATTATATATGAGAAAATGTTAACTTATTTTGACTTTCACCGGTTCACTCTATCATGTCTATATCTACCCATTGATGGGCATAATGTCACCCTAAAGGGACATCACTGAGGTATTTTAACATTTAAATGTTCAAGATTAATTTTCCATTTGATGTAAGTCTAGACCATTAACTTGCATCCAAAATTTTAGATCATCGTTTACCTAGAATAATCATTCTAATTGTTTAAACATCTCCCTAAATTGAAAAGTAGCGTAACTTTAGAATAGCACAAAAATAGATTTGCAATTTATTTCTGAGTAAATTTTATTTATCTTTTGCATATCTTTCTGTTTTAAGTGCCCCAGCTTATCTATGAAAGAAATTCAAATTTTATGTTTACAGGATTTTGAACCTCAGTGGAGTTCCTTTAATTAACCATTCTGTGACAAAATTGTGTCTATATTAGCATAGTATATGTGTCGCAGTTAAAAGATAGTATACATATAGTGGATTTTTTAATCAATATTTCAACTCCTCTATTAGGTATGAAAAAACAACGATAAGATGTTTTGATTGAACAGTTATTACAAATAATAATATAATTTGATCATATTTATATGCGCAATAAATTGAAATATTCATTCATTTCGAATAAACTGCCGTTTAGTCGGGTAATTTTGAAGAAAACCCAGCGGTCAGATCTCTGTCGAGTTACAAAATTTTTCGTAAGCTTAGGAGTTATTCTGGGCTAGTTTAGTTTTTCTTTCATTACCTATTTTAAGTATGCACTCGTACTTCCGGAAATGTCTTTAAATTTCGCTTAATATAAACATAGTGGCCTTACATAATGCAGATGTATCATAGTTTCCCTGAAGTCCGTTCGACTGTACAAAAATGTAATTTCAACATGCAAATGAGAATAATTTAGGATATGATTAATTGGTATCTATAAAATAGATAATTTTTCAAATATGTTATATCCAAATAATCCTCCACAAATGTGTTGACTTTTATACATGTTTTCGTAATATTATATTAACAGAAAAAGTGCAATTACAGACATATATAACTAATAACAGGAAAACAAATCAACTGTTAATTTTCATGTATATTATTTAGATTTATATATCTACAGGTATAATTCAGCCAAGATTGTAGCCTGGAATTTGCTCACATGTTGAGGAGTTGTACTCGCAGTGTAGACCTTGTCCACATAGAATAGTGGGTGGGTAATAGAGAGAATCCTCATATTCCTTATTCCCACATGATTCACCAAGACCTGAAAAACAAAATATTACAATATTGTTGACTAGCACTAAACAGTTATCTAAATTATGTAATCAACGAGTCAATAGATTATGATAGCTGTGCATATTCTATATTGTACAATCTATTAACATGCCGAGTTAAAATACCGTACGTTTGTAAAACAACAACAACAACAACGGAGATTCACCGGAAAGCAACAAAATTCCATGAAAATTGCAGACTTGATTTTATTTGGGATAATGGAAAAGTGCATCATTCCTTATAGCACTAGCTTAAGTGGTATTCAAACTTTAACACTAAATGTACTTGAATCAATGATTCCGGAATACCAGCAAACTATAACAAGACTGAAAGACAATAAAGACGTGATGTACACTTACCGACTTCCGTAAAACAGGCTTCACAACATCCACAGTAACCCCCACCCATCCGTACAGTTCCCTGACAATTATCCCGATCTACTATATTACACTTTACCAAGTTACAAGGAGGATACTGACAAATTAGTCCTGTTGCTACCATAGCAACGGCTGATAAAACCATAATCACTGCACATATACTTTCTTTCATCCTTAGCACGTTTTCGCCTTAAGTATTTGAAACAACAGGTTACACTTACATACTACAGGAGGTCAACTACTAGAGGTCAACTTATAGTATCTTAATGTCAATCATGATAAGGTTTTCATTAGGCTACTAAACATAGATGGATAATGTTCTATCTTAATCTATGCCATGGAAGCGCTCATCAAAACTTTTAATGAAATAAAATGATTACCTTTGTTTGCTTCTATGAAAGCCTTGGTGAGTCACTTAGAACGAATTGTCTGACCTTAAATCTCCATTGCAATCTTATGCCGCTTCTACATGTTTAAATATAGGATAAATAAAAAAAAAAACGAAGCAAAGTGCACATAGCAAAGACAGGATACTAAGCTAAGCCAAAGCGTCAAACTTTATGAAAAAATTGCCCTTGTCAACTTAAGTCAGGACATTGACTTAAGTATACATGTTCTTAAGTATGCGTGCAATGCTATGTCTTTATTTCTATTGTACAGAAATAATGATATTTAATTTTATAAATTTAATAATATGTTTATAAGGAATAAAGGAAATAGATAATGAACTTTGCTAAAACCATTGTGTACTTTACATTGGAAAATATGACTTCAATTCTCAGTAAACTAATCGAGTTAATAATTTGTATATGATTTATTTATATCTAAATGAAAATTGTGCGAGACATTTTGCAGTGAAGTTAGGGGTTTATATTTACAGGACAAATATTTGTATATTTTGAATATTAACTTTGTATTGAAACGCATATGAAAAGATTATTTATGTTTGTTCAATACTTATAAAATTGCCTAGTAACCCAGATAATTATTTAGGCACTAACTCTTGATCTTATTTAACTTTTAAGTAGTATAAACGTTTGTGACTTCCCTCCTATCTCGGCAAATAATATCAATAACTACTATAAAACATATAATAAAACAAAAACAATTATGAAGGCAAAAAGACAGAAAAAAAGACTTTGTATTTATTAATCGTGATCTGGAAGCATTACATATCATGTCACATTTATCCGACACCTGGAATAGACTGACATGTTGATGATTTACGGTCGCAGTAAAGTCCGGGGTTACAGATGGCGGTTGGTGGGTAGAGTAGTTCATCTAACGCATCTTTATATACACATGGCTCCAGGTAACCTGAAACAAATATAACAAGTGAACATTAATAATACAGCTACATGTACATTCATTATGTTTAATAGAAGATTTTCATCAATGATATAAATGTATGTCATATGTATATTATAGCTTTAATAATATTTCCAAACAAAAAAGGAAATTTTAAAGTCCACATTGAGATACATTTGTAAAGAGAAGTCACGCCAAGGCAATTGGTATCGTTTTCATAAAGTGGGTGAATATATGAAAACAACGTAAGCTCTGAAGAGCTTTTTTAAAGTGGACTTATAAACGAAAGTACATGATACATTGTAACAACATATATAAAACACAAAAAATTAATAAAACAAGTCGGAAATATTTACCTATTTGAGTAAAACATACCATACAACATCCGCAATATCCACCTCCCATCCGGATAGTTCCGGTGCAGTTATCCGCATCTACCGATTCACATTGCACAGTCTCACAATGTGGAAACTGACAAATAAGTCCGTGTGTCACAAGTATACCGACTGTTAACACGGCAACAACGGTCTTAAAATATGTGATCATCATTTGGTCCTTTTTGATAGATTTTGTTCTGCCTTTAACGATATATTTGTTTATATTTCAATTATTTTAAGATAAGAAACTATGAAGAACAGAAAGGTCCTTGATAACATGTCATAGAGGTCAATGTCTTGTTCATCATAGCACAGTGCTCAGTCCTCAGAGGTTAAAGAGCGGTTTATGTGCTTTTTTAATTCAAGGCCCTTTTAGGATAGAATACAGCTTAAATAAAACCGATTCCACCATTATCACCTATCTGCTTTGTTTTTATTGCTAACTCCTGATTAAAGTTTTGATTATTTGGCTTATTTTGAGGTACTTTCATGGGCTGGTTATTTAAGTCGAACAAAGCTAGGTCTCATAGTTTCTGCATTTTATGTAGCTGATATCTCAACTACAAGGAATTGTATAAAGCAGTCCTTTTTCCTTCTCGACCAATGCCGGTATTTTTACAAAACGGTCCTATTTTATAAATTATTTTTCGGTCGCTATATTAAAAAAAGAAAAAGGAACGTTAATATTGAGTTTGATGAATTTTGTAATATGATTTAGTATTTATGAGAAACATAAACCAACATTATAAAAGTTTTTTTCCCCTGGTTTTAAGTCATCTGGGCTAATTCCTAATCTGAAATCGGTCTTAAGACCAAAACTAGGACAATTTTGTGTTTCAAAGAAATCGTCTTAACTTATGACTCCTATTTCATAACACTTTTAATTTCTGAATAGCAATACATATGACCAAATAAAAGGGTCAATCATAGTTTATATATTTCCTTCACTTTTCTCTGGAAAATAAAGTTAATTATAGTCTACAGTATTATGTGACTGAATGTAAAAACATTTATTGAAATGGTCTTTCGTTAATTCTAAATAAAGTTGGTTTTATGTTGGATGACGTAGGATACACGTAAGACTTTTTATGAAAGGCAAACAGAGGTAACATTGATAGAAACACGAGATCATCTGCTATATTTTGTTATTGTTGTTATCATACTAACTGTAAGTTTACATAAATCATATATTAGTTTAAATTCACATGGTAGAGTTGTATCACATATATATAGGCAGAATAAAAACTGTATATAATATGATTGATTCAAACTTTGCGTAATTTTAAAATATGATACTAGAACCAATTTAAGAGAAAAGGATTTTGTTTACAGGAAAGGATTCGGGAGTGTTTCAATAAGCATATAGCTTCCAACACAATCAAACTATAATAAATTTGTATAAACTAAAACAAAAGAGTCTTGTAAAGCTGTATTAGTTTGAACTACACATATATTACTTTCTATATTAGTTACTAAACTGTATGATTATCCTGATCTTAATATAGATCTTGCACTTTATCCCTCAACTATTCACGAGCCTTTACGGATTAAAGGTTAAGTATAACAATTAACGAAATTCACCTCCCTATCCCCCACTCCGAAAAAGAGTCTTGAAACGCTGTATAAGTTTGAACTACACATACATTACTTTATATATATAAGTTGCTAAACTGTATGATTATCCTGATCTTAATATAGATCTTGTACTTTATCCCTCAACTTTTCACGAGCCTTTACGGATTAAAAGACATGTCAATAATCAATTAAATCAGCACGCATTCATCATTAGAATTGGTTATCAATTTTACACCGGCTCTAGCACAATGTCACCTATAGAATATAAACCAGCTTCTATCAGTGAGCTTTATAATATCAGAAAATGACTTTGTGTGACAATGAACAATTTCCAACAGTTTTCCATTAAATCTTGCAGCGAGTATAATAGTGTTAATAACGATAATAAAATACACGAGAGAAAACTTTTCTTTTATCGTAAAATCAATGTTGTTTTACATTAAAATATACAATTACGAATGTTTTAAAAGCAGTTTATATAAAAGTAAAGCTTGAGTGGACATCGGTTTAATGACATCTTTTTCAATGTTGGAGTAAAACCTTGTTTTTTATCGGTTAACTAATTTACCCGAATATATCATTCTATACAATAAAGATTGTATTATTACGCGCTACATGTAAAGTTATAAAGGAAAATAAACTCCAGTATGTGACACTTTACAATAAGTTATTCAACTGTGAGGTTCATCTAAAGTTACAGAGATGTTTTTGAAAGGAAGTTTAACATGTATAGTGGTTTTATATATACAAATTGGTAAGTGTATTAAAATGTAAACATTTTGAATGATATAGCGTGTAAATACTTGAAGATATTTTGTTTGCATTATATATTAGTAACTTTCTGTAATACAGTAAAAAAGGATAAACATTATTTGAAGTAAATTATTGACCAGTCTCAATAAAAGCACATTTGAAAATATTTTATTTTCATTACTAACGACATAATAAAAATCTTATATAACAATTATATTATTATATACATGTCCATGACTGGTCATCTGCATGTTCTTTATATAAAACTCTAAACAAGATATTAATCCGATATCGATAAATTCAATGAAAGTAAAAGAGTAAAGATTTTCTTTTAAAACGAGTCATCATTTTAATACACACTAGATAGTGAAATGTTTTAGGTTTTAGGCTTTTGATCTGTTGGAACTGCATCACTATATATTTATTATTATTATTATTTATTATTATTATTATTATTATTGTTATTATTATTATTATTATAGAAATTCTACGTAGATGTTTTTTGTCAACGATAGATTCTTTTTACAAAGAATTATGAATTTATGAATTATCCCTCCAGTCAAGATGGTTGCAGGGATATTAATTTCTTGTTTGACAATCCCCGCAGCCTTCCTGGTATATCATAATAACAAACACCAAAATTTTATACACTTTAGACAATGTTATATATCAGTTAAAGATTCAATGTATTTTTGTTTCAGTCACAGCACAATATCAAGACATCAGTCATTTACTTGATGACTTACAGAAAGGATACAGGAAACATGTGTTACCGACGAGGAAGGCTAATTCTTATGTTGCCGTTAAAGTTTATCCAGCGATAGTTCGAATAGACGATCTAGTATGTATAACTGCATGTATATATATTTATAGGGTTTTTTTTATATAAAAAACCATTTTACTGATTCATAATCATAAATGCATAGTACATGTATTACAATAACACGCGTGATTATGATACTGTTAGACAGAACTGACGCGAATATGTCGACTTTTAAAAATCATATCTGTAAACAATAACCCCTCCTTAACGAATCAGGAAACACTTAACGCTAAGAATAGTATATAACAAATTTTATCTAAGATCTAAAAATAGCTGCAATCCCACTGGTCAATTTAATGTGTTGCTTTTCTATACATGTACGTACTATTGTAGTATTGTTCATTACACAGTACTAAATGTACTTATATTTTAAACAATGATATAGTATTTTTATTCTGACATTTGTTTTAGATTTGTGTGATGTTTGTTTGTTGACTTAATTGCTTCTGCCATTATCTAACTGAAACAAAAACATACATGTTGAGAAATCTTTTCAAAATGAACCGATATTTTGAGTTTTTATAAGAAGTTCAAAAATGTCTTCGTTTTATATAATTATTTATGTAACTGTTGTTATATTCATATTTATTTCGTTCTTTGAGTTCTTGTAATTTAGTAAAATATTTACTGACAAAAGATTTTCAATGACGTATATTTAACGCAAGTACAACAATTCTATGATGACTTTGAGCGCCAGAACGGACCGCAAAATTCAATATTTCAATGAAATACAGAGCTGTCCATGTAATCGTCTAATTAGCTTTTACCATGTTTGTCAAGCACGGTGCCATGCGATACATTAAATATTAACATGGTTCTAAATATCACAATTTATAGATCAATATTCATGCGTTTATTCTTTCTATGGTAATTTAATATTTTATTGTTGGTTCTGAAAACGATAATGCAGATCAATTCAATATGTTAAACACGTACGAAAGATAGAATCAATGACACAGTTTAAAGTTAAACAATAATTATAATATACCATTTGGCTCTGACAGAAAATAAGGGGTATAAATTATTTATCACCTGAAATCGGACACCGGGAATAAAACCTGAAACATTGTCACAAAATATCATAATTACTCATATAGTTTATTACTGGTTTTATATACACGCTATTCATAATCACCCGCCACCTTATGTATGCCATACACGTTTCTCTAAATTTTACAAGTAAGTTCGATAAATAATTGATATGTCCTCCCTAAAAAAATTTTTTGTCCTTCAACTTAAAAAATAATATTTGTTTGAAAGTTGAAATTGACTGTTTTTCTTTCATTGATTGTTCACTTAAATTTAAGTTTAAATTACACACTGATTCTATTCTTTCCTTAATTAAGAGATTTGCTTTTTGGGTAACAAAAAATATGATCAGTTTTAAAGTTTACAAACAAGGGACATTTCTATATTATCTAATAAAATAAATATTTACGATATTTCAGCGTGGTGATGTAAAATTAAATACAAGATGAAAGTTTTTCGATTTAGAGGTGCCAAACATTTACAAAAAATACAATAATTGAATACTATAGATATCTACATTCGAATGATCCGTTATTTTTTACAAGTTCATTTATCACTTCCAGTAAACTACAGATAATATCTCAACTTAACATGGCATTTATAAACGGAATCAATGAACTTATGTTTGAACAGACACGTAACAGATTGTTATTTTCACAGGCACCTGCAGAATAACTCACTGATTCGCACAACTCTTAATTAGTTTCTTAAATTTCGTTGAGATATATTTGTCAATATTTCTCAAAATATGAATTCAACTTTAATTCAATTTTTCGTTAAAAAGACATATCTGATATGCAATTTAATTTTTAAGTACTCGTTACTTTTGTCTCTTAAGTTTTTTACAACATGTTTTCATTATTCAATATTAAACGACTTAAACGAACATGTTAAGTTATATATTAATGACAAGTAGAAGATAGAAAAAGAAAACAATTATTTCATCATACAAGATTATGTCTTTAACTTGCAAATGCTTTACATTAATGAATTTAATATAAATTGCTTTACATTTATACGTTTGCTTGGTCAACTTCATCTTATTGTTTATAGACAATAACTTAATCAACCTTTATTTATCAAAAAATAATGGAACCATATAGCATTATAATTTTATAAAAGAACTAATTTATTTCAGGATGCACATAAAGAAGAATTGTCATCAACGATCAGTTTATCATTGGTAAATATCTGAATATGAGAATTCATTCAAACGAAAAATAATCCTTAATATGTGTATCCATGGCAACGGATTCAAATTTATTCACAGCTTCTAATTTCCATCTGAAATTATCTGGTTATTTCTAAGGTCGACAGTATGGTAAACACTATGAAATCTGAAGACAAAATGTCTCCATGTGGTCATAAAATATAAAAAATAAAAATTGTGAAATTAAATTCAACTCAGACTTCCAAGTAATAAACATGAACTACATAAAAACACAGAATTATTTGAAGGCACATTATGCCTCAGAAATGAATATTGTTTTCCTTTTTTAAAAGGGCATACATCAGTTTTATTCTAGTAACATTTAAGTAACGATTTTAGATGTTAGATTATTTTCACCTGAAGAAAGTAGCGGCGAATGTGGAATTATTTGTCATAAATAGCAACAAGTAAACAAAGGTTGACTTCTATACAAAATACTAAATCACTAAAAATGTACTAATTGCTTAAAGCCAAAATGTGGTTCAGTTAATTGGCAACTTTTGAAACTTTAACAGGATACCAAAAATATAAACGCTTTTAGAAATAAAGCTTAAAGCATTTCCGGAGCATAAATGACCTTTTATTAAAATGGAGTCCTCTATTAAAGCTATAGCATTTAAAATTGGTAGAGACTTGCATGCCTTTTATTCTTTCTTGAAGATACTATTGTGATTCAAAGAAATGGATCAAATTCTAATTTATTCACAATTATTTGAAGAAAAGTGAAAAAAATAACTTCACAATGAAACGTTACCTCTACATGCACTTATCAAGATTGTAATTTGGGTGTCTTTCTTGACAAAATACTCTTAAAAAATTTGTATTTTAGATATAGAATAACATGGCTTTGTGTAACAGTATTCATGATTTAGTGCAATAATTCAATGAAACGACCATCTGCATGGTAGTTTCACAGATTAATATTTTTAGATTAAGGTATTTGAAAAATTGTTTTGGAATCATTTCTACCTTTGTCTCAAGGAAGAGAGAATAATGATTATAATTTCATTAGATTAGTTTTTGATAATTTTTATATATTTTAGTACTGGACGGATGACAGACTGGCTTGGAATCCAAAAGAATATGGCGGAGTCAGAGAGGTTTACATGCCAGTATCCGGTATTTGGACGCCTGATATTTCTGTTTACAATACGTAAGCAGTATTGCATGTATTAATGATAATACATAAAAAGATTAAGAAATTAATTCAAGATTGTAAATAGTCATACACGCTTAGTTAACAATATGTTAGCTTGCATATGTGAAACAACATATAAGATAATTTGAAACCATGTTTCTATCGGGTTAATTTATATAAAACATAGAATTTGTATTAAAATCAAAATATTTCATTTACATAACATCAAGGTATAAAATGAAATAATGTCATAATACTGAAAAACAAGAATGTTGATATAAACAATGGAACATTGTTTCTACATTACACAATTAGCATTTTAATAATCAATCATATTGATTTTATATTAAGAGTTTCTTGATGTTTTTGTAGAGTCTCCCCACCAGAACCATTCCGTGATCAGCTGGTTGAAGTCTCAAGTCTAGGACGTGTACTTTATGTTAGAAACGTTCATGCACGATCCTACTGTCACGTGGACTTAAAATGGTTCCCACGTGATCAACACACGTGCGAGTTGATATTTAGCTCGTGGATTTATCCAAGTAAGGTAAGTTTAGATAAATATATCATTATTCAATGAAGATAAATAGTAATCTGGTAAATTAATTTTACTGACTGGGGTATTTGGGATATATGAAATACAAAAAAGAAAAGAATCGTCACTTCGGCCTTCTAAAAAAATATTGTTTTGTTTTAATTCTAAACAGTCACAGGATAGATAGACAAAATTATAACGGTCTTATTGTAATGGTTACTCCCTTATTTTATTATTTATCTTACGTATACCTCATTGTTTATATGAAAAAGAAAACATATAGACAAATCAATTGAAATCAGCCTGTTTATCAAACAAAAATAACTACTGTACTGCAAAAGTGTTGTTACGGATGTTGTGATATTTTTCTCATGTTTGAATATTTTTTAAGATAAAACTCAAATGAAGACAATAAAATTAAAAATTGTATAAATATCATACCTCAATGAATTGTAATTTCAAACACATACTCGTATCACTCTTCATCTTACAGAAAATGTTGATGGAATTCATGCACGTGAACACGAGCACTGCAGATATTCCTGTCCTTGCTGACACAGATCCAAACATTATAAACCTCGACAGTCACCAGTGGCAAATCCGAGCACGAAAAGCCCGTGCAGAAATCAAATTGATAACATACGCTTGTTGTCCTGGTAAGAGATTTGTTTCTGTTTTATGACGTTTATAAATAAAAAAAAATAATAACGGAAACGAAAAAATAAATAAAATAACTATGCAAAATATTGCTATAAGGAAAATTTAAAATATATTTTTCAAGCATTTGGTAATACTTTTCCAATAAAAGTTCAAAATGTAATAAAAAAATACTTGGGTATGCAGAATTAGCATTTTTATTTAATAATAGGAAATGTTATTCAGTCTACAAAGTTCTTATAATTTCTGTCAAAAGATATTCTAACTTATATAGAACTTAACATACAACTTTTAAACTTTTTTTGCTGAGGTTTATATATTTTATTTCCGTACAAAAACACCAGTTAAGTATCATGTGAGTAAATGTAATTGTTTAATAGTATGCCTTTGTGTGTTAAATGTTTATCTTTATTAGAGCATACATTCACACATATTGAGTTAACCAGTTA